TCCTATGAGGACCTCCGCCGTTTCTGCCTCACTCTCCGTAAACAGGCCAAAGACGAAACAGTTTGTTTTTACTACAACGGTCACGGCGTTCCGAAGCCCACCCCCAGCGGAGAGCTTTGGTGTTTTAACCGGAACTACACACAATACATTCCCGTCTCGCTTATGGAGGTCCAGACTTGGCTCGGTAGCCCAGGCGTATATATTTGGGATTGCAGTGCTGCCGGGCACTTGCTCTCCAACTTCATCACCTTCGCTGAACGTCGGGATCAGGATGCGTTCACCACACGTGGGGGCTACGCAGACGGCATGCAGCCGTACATGAACTCCCTTCAACTCGCCGCGTGTGCTACCCATGAGCAACTTCCGACATGTCCGGAGTTGCCAGCAGACGTTTTCACGTCATGCCTAACTTCCCCCATCGACATCGCGCTGCGATACTTCATCATGACCCATCATCTACCAAATAACATCACCCCCGACATGGTCATGCAGCTACCAGGAGATCTCAAGGACCGTCGGACACCTCTTGGCGAGCTCAACTGGATTTTCACCGCTATAACAGACACCATTGCGTGGACCACGTTCCCTCGGGACGTGTTCACGCGGCTGTACCGCTCCGACCTCCTCATCGCAAGTCTCTTCCGAAATTTCTTACTCGCAGAGCGCATCATGAAGAACTACCACTGCACCCCACACACACACCCTCCACTTCCAGCAACAAACACTCACCAACTCTGGGCCGCATGGGATTTAGCTCTGGACACATGTCTACGCCAACTGCCTGAACTTCTCGCGAAGAGTCCAGGCGCGCCCAATAGTCCCCCAAGTCCCATTATCGGCACAGGCGCGCGCTCGGGACACAGTGGTCAGCGCGGATCATCGGGTGCTCCGAACATGGAGAAACCTTACCAATATATCCCGAGCCGCTTCTTTACCGATCAGCTCACTGCGTTCGAGGTGTGGATTTCACGCGGTGGTTCTGCACTAACAAAGCGTGGTCCTCTGTCACTACCTCTCCAGAACGGCGGGGATCGCTGTGACACGCCTGACGTTGTAAATGGAACCACTGCCCCTGATGCTGATCTTGTCCCACGTAAACCCCCCGATCAGCTCCCCATCGTCCTGCAAGTGCTGCTCTCGCAGCCCCATAGACTTCGGGCCCTGATTCTTCTTTCGCAATTTGTAGACCTCGGACCCTGGGCCGTCAACCTTGTGCTCACCATTGGAATCTTCCCATATATATCTAAGCTCCTGCAAGCCGCAGGCCAGGATCTGCGTCCGGTGTTGATCTTCATATGGGCACGCATCCTTGCAGTAGATCCCAGTGTTCAAGTCGACCTATACAACACCGGGGGATTCAAGTACTTTGCGAATGTGCTGGCGACGCAGGAAGACAACGAGCTGCCTAACAGCAGTGAACACAAGGCTATGTGCGCATTCATTCTCAGTGCCGTTGCAAGAGACTTCTATAACGGCCAGATGGCATGCTGGCGCGAAAGGGTGTTCGACGCTTGCTCCGAGCGCCTGGAGGAGGGCGACTTTCTGCTGAGACAGTGGAGTGCGCTATGTATTGCGCAAATATGGGACTCCAATGATGAAGTCAAAGTGTATGGTGTCGATAGCGGGATTCAAGACAAGCTCATTCTCATGCTGTCTGACGACTCGCCTGAAGTCAGAAGCGCAGTCCTATACGCACTCTCGACTTTCATGGGTGCGGCTGGGGGCAAAGGTCAGGGTGGCGCCGGGACTGGGACTCAGTATCAGCTTGAAGAGCGCATCCACTTCAGGATGGAGGTGGCTGTTGCAACTGGAGCCACTCTTGCTGTAAGGGATGATGCAAGCCCAATGGTGCGTAAGGAGTTACTCGTGCTCATAAGCTGCCTTGTGCGCGAATGGCGCGGGCACTTCGTCGTTTGCGCGTGGATGTACTGGGAAGAAGACCGGCGATGGCGCGCAGGTGAACCACAAACCCATCATCATCATCATCATCATTATCATCATGCGGAAGAGGAGGTCACAGCTCAGGCGCTCGCTGAATGGCTGGACGGATTTGGCGATGACGAAGGCTCGAGGGAAGAAAACCGAGTGTTACTCTCGAGCTTTTTTACAATCTTTGTGGTGCTCATGGAGTTGACAATTGACCCATACCACGAGGTTGCGACACTCGCACAGACCGTGATGGACTACATTTTCGCGCTGCTCCTCGCATCACCTTTTGCAAAACTTAACCTTGTCCCCCCACTACCCGTCGATCACAAGCCCGCTGGTGCAAATGGCGTGCACTCACGTGTGAGCTCGGCACAAGGATCACCGCTGATACAACACCCGCCCTCACCGTCATTATCCCGTCCATCAAATACGCTCAGGCGCACGTCATCCTTTGCAAACACACTGCGTCATCTTGCAGGGGGTATCCCTTTCCCCAGCAGCGATGAGGCACGCGCCCCGCCAAGCCCTGTACCATCCTCGCTCTCCCGCTCTGATGTCCTTGCTGCATCCCGTCCCCCATCACCAAACTTCAACGTTGCACAGTATGCTTCGCCCTATTCACGTCCGCCAACGCCATCAAGGGATAAAGAAAGAGACTTGGCTTCGCCTCCGGTGTCACCAACTGCAGGGACTGCGACCTTCTTACCTTCGCATGTGATGGAAGCGCTTGTTGAGGAAGATATGGTGCGTTTGCGAGCACGACGTCGGCAAGGAGCACATGGGCGTCGTTCCGCAGGATCGGGGCTCGGTCACGCAGGTGGTAGTGCCGGCGGTGGCCTGAGCAGTCCATGCGAAAGTACATTCTCTATGGACTCGAATGTCAGCAATGTGCCGCTTGGCTGTGGGACCGGTAATGGACTGCGTGATGTACTACCTTTGAAAAGCTCGTTTTTTGCTTGGTGTTGCGAATACTTCACGGAGCCGCAGATGCGGGTACGTGCGATGTGACATTCGTGGGTCCTAAATGTTGATACTGATTGTGCTCTTGTCTTGTTTTTGCAGCAAACGGAGGCGGACGAACCAGGAAGCGTGCAGTACAATTACCAAGTGTGGAGGCAACAGCGAAATGAGCAAGTCATTACAGAGACGCAGAAACAGGCAATAGTTGCTGGTGCGTACTATGTCCCGACTGTGATAATTAACGCCAACGCTGCGCAGAGAGTTCAAGATGGGATCGTCCTGTGGCCAACCTGCACGTGAACAGTCATCCCTTGTGCATGGCAATGCATGCGTACGACCCCCACCTAGTTATTGCGAATGACAACGACATGATCAGGTTCGCGTGTGATTTATCTTGTGCTGTAATGACCCTATTGACGCAATCACACCGCAGTGTGTGGGATTGGACACAACGCAAGCGCTTGAATCACTTTTGCAATGGTAATCCTAAAGGCACGAGCATCACGTCGCTGCAAATAATTAACCAGGATGTGGGCGGGATTATCATGACTGGTGCAGGTTCGTACTTGACTTCTTCGTAATCTCAAATACTTATAAGTTGTGTAGCTGACGGCATCGTGCGTCTATACCGGAATTATGATCCCACAGTGAACCAAGGTCCACTCCAGATGGTCAGCTCGTTCCGTGCACTGCATGAGTTGATCCGGGTGCGTAGGGGTAGTGGCCTCGTGCTAGATTGGAAACAATCGGGTGGCACGCTGCTGGTTGGGGGCGACTCTCGTATCATCCGTGTATGGGATGCCCACACGGAGACTCAAGTCCTGGTAAGAGGGCAATACTTCGTAGTGAGGACTAATTACTCATGACTTCAAAGGATCTAGAAACTAATTGCGAGAGTCCTGTGACGTCTATCACATCTGATCAGGGCTCGTCGTCCACATTCATTGTTGGCTTTGCCGATGGCCTGGTCAAAGTTTTCGATCGTCGACTAGAGGAAGAGGACGCTATTGTTAGATCGTATCATGACCATCACTCATGGGTACAGAATGTCAAATACCACCCGCGCATCAGCGGTCAGTTCTTGTCTGGAAGGTGAGCTGAAGCTGTGTAGTGTGTGTACTGAGACTCACATAAATGCAGCCTCGCTGGCGAAGTCCGTCTGTGGGATTTGAGAGGCTCTGATACAGCGATTCAGGCTTGGGACTTACACCATACGGGCTTGTCTGCGTTCGATGTACATTCACAGACGGGCGTGTTTGCCACGTAAGTGCGATTCTGTTTTAGGAAGAATGGTTGGCTGACTAGGTTGCAGAACATCTGCTCTTACTCCTGCCAACTTTAGGCACCAGCGGCTTATGGTACACTCTATATCAGATTCATTGTTACTCTCCACGCTTAGCCTACCAACGGGCCTCAACGCGCATCCCTCTCGACCACCGACGCCTTATATCCCTAGGCATACGTCTTTCGCGTTCCACCCAATGGAGATGTTGTACGCTATTGGGCAGCCTGATGGTTCTGGTGTGTTGCACGTGTTACTTAACATGAGTCAAACCGCTAATCACTCCTTGAATATCTAGTTAAGATCACTGGATGCAAACTCACCTAGAGAATGTACATTCATGAATACCCGCACATCACCATCATCAAATTATATGGTGGCCGTGTCCATTTTCCTCATTTTCACTGCTTTCTGTAAGCCCGCTGGACTTGCGAACGCTTTTTCTTTTTGCAACGTCCTTATATCTCAGCTCAACTAACTCATAATCAGATCTTTCTGTAAACTATTACGCCCTGATGTATCCCCAAATGATCGAAGCAAATTAGTCTGTCCGATAGCGAGTTGAAACTGTCTTGTAAAGCCCAACCCTTCTGGCTCTACATGTTCCTGCAAGTGCATAAAATACCTATAATTGATCCTACAAGTCCAGATACACCGCCCACAGTTCAGTAAGAGTAGGTAAAATTATAACGAGGACCAAGACGATACGATGAGCTCGAAGATGTAACGTGAATTCGTAATGTTAATTAATTGATAAGAGAACTAAGTCGTAACGGGTGTGGTATGATGTGGTATGATACTTATCAAACATCAATCGCAATGGCATGATCTAAAGCATCAAAGTAGTAGCCTGAGCGTACGACAGGCCCTTCCAAGCGGGCGATTCGGGGGTAAGAGAGATGAATTCCCAAGGTTCATTAATCCCAATGTCGTGTCCAAAGTCGTCAAGAGCAATGACCGAACGAACAGGGGGGAGGATCTCAAAGTCAACATCTACGCATAAGTTCGAGTGAGCATTTTCATAAACGAGATCTTGCAGTACCCTACCTTGCGCCTTGGATAGTTTCTTGGTCCTGAACGTCACGAAATCCGCAAGCGCCATCTTAGAGAAACCGGATTCGTTTCTCGGCGTTGGTGCGACATTAATGGGGCGACCGGATCCAGTGAGGGTACGAGGGTCAGGCTCATCGCCATCCCAGAACTCCATGCTGGCCTTCCTGGCAGCCCGGTTTAAGTGCCCCTCCTTGAGCGCTGGTGCTCGTACCCTCGCCGCCGCTCTCTCTTTGCGCTCTTTCATCAGCGCGTGCTCCTGCCGCTCCTTCGTCTGGTGCCTAGCGTGCTCGTATGCACGCTGATCCTTCGCATCAAGTTCAATGAGACTATCTTCCACCGTCTCACGCGAATGCTGGAGGGACTTCTCGAAGGATATGGTAGACATGGATGGTTGAAGTTCTCAAAGGACAGAGTACTGTGTCTCACTTATATAGATGACATCCCGCAGCGGTGACGGCGGCGGCGGAAGCATTGCCTTTGAGGGTCACAGCACCACGGCCAAGTACTGGTTTGAAGTGGATGATAAATAGCTAGGATTGGCTCACAGCTTTACCAAGCTAAGGCTACTGTGGCCCATAGGGCCACCCAAGACAACGAAACTCCGATCGTAGACGTCATACGTGACCACGTGACTCCGTGTGTTTGAGTCTTGCCTTCATCGGAGTGCCGGAGATGGATGCCCTGAGCACTACTGGGAAGTAGTATTCTTATCCTCAATCACCACTGTAACCGCAATCGACAGTAAACACGATCGTCTTCGAAATGATCCTGTAGCTCCACTTCCTAAGTCATTCTGCCGGACAATGACTACGTAAAACACCTTGTTAAGGCCTACAGTGGAACTAGTAGTCCAGGAAGCGGCAGCGGTACCGAAATTGCAAACTCCCAAAGTATGCAGCTGACTCGGTTCTCGAGTGTTTAATATCTTACCTTACATAGTACTTAGAGGTCGCAACTCACCACCATATTTACCTTGACGACAACATGACCGATGCGAACAAACCTCCGACTCGAGAGATTGTCCACGTCCATGTCACTCACCCAGACCGCGACAATCTTTTCCGCACCGCAGCAACTCCCAGTGATTTGATCAAAAAGAATGTGAAGACTTTCGGCGTACAGTGTGCGCAATGTCAAAAAACATTGGAGAAACTTTGGAAATGTTCAAAGGTGCTGGTGGCTGATACATCTAAATCTATCACAGGCGCTTATCACATGTTTTCGTAGTGCAAGGGCGTCTGGTATTGCTCAAAAGAGGTATGATCTGCGGCTTGGAAAAAACAAGGTGGCAGCTACATGGTCAAAACTACGAGACGCCAAGCTGGTTCTTTCTGATACAAACAATAAAAAAATCAACCATGTCGAGGCTTCCTCTTTGGCGAAGGCGATGTTTCTTCTCTCGGTCTGGGCCTCTTCGGCTTCAAAAGGTCGGGGAGCGGACAAAGTTCTATACCAGTAGCACGCTGTTGCGCACCATCGAGATATTCTGCAGCTTGTCTGTGGATATCATTCAGAAGAGTGTCGTCAAGCGCTAGCAGGGGATATTTTGCCTCCGCCTTTCGATAACCATGTTGGAGAGCACCTGCGAAATGAGGAATACAACCGCCAACATCACGGCATGTCTCTGAAAGGACATCATCACAGACGGTTTGAAGATCGCCAATAATGGAGAAGAACTCCTGGCGTAATGGGCTGCCGACCGTACCAGGGAATGCCAGCTGGAATTTTTCCCACTGAGCATCAAGGGAATGGTTGGCGTCTGTCGTGTTCGTGTCCGTGTGATAAAAGAAGATCCAGGTAAAAGCCCACCATACGGATTCGATGTCGTGCAGGAAATTCATGCGAAATGGAGGGCGGGACGGGAGGCTTGTATCAGGTTTTCTACCAACTGGTCGGACGTAAGAAGTTGGTGGGCGGAAAAGGTATTTCTGTCTTTCTACTTCCACCGCCATGAAATGGATTGTTCCCTGGTGACGAGTTAACAGCGAAAGAGATCATCTTCAAAAACTCTTACCGTTCGAACATCGTGAGAAGTTTGTGAATCTATCTTCTTTGCGTACTCGAAGTCACCCAATTTCCCGATACCCCCGACCCAAATTACGTTCCCGACGCTGAAATCGCGATGAATCCAGCCTGCTTTGTGCATATAATACAGGGCTAAGGCTGAATGAGCGACTGAGGAAATGAGTGACAGTGATTTGCTCACCCTTAAGTCCGTCAGACAAGCAAGTCAGGTTGTCGGCCAAAGAGGTGACATCCTTGACAGCGACTCCAACATCATTGAAGACAGTGCGAGTATGAACTCTGCGTGGGATGCCGGTGTCATTTCGCGCAATACCGCCCAATTGTGTGGGAAGAAAGGCGGACAGTCGACCAGAGTCGGGTATATTGCCTGCGCTAGGTAAATGTGGTCTTGCAGAGAGGATGGGCTGGAGATCGATGGACACCCACTTCCAGCTACGATTATGCTCTTCTCCAACCAGCGGGTCCAGCGTCACGTCTGGGGTATCGTCGATCATGACATCCTTCCAGAGTCGGATTCCAACAAAGTACCTCTTGGCATCCGCCAACTCCTCCGCTTGCAGCTTCTCCGCACAGGAAGCCAGGATGCTTTCTAGGATCTCGCCCTCTGATTGACGTTCAACTTCTCTCCATGAATCTTTAATGGCAACCTTCTTCCCCCCGGCGTCCGTGGCTTCGTACACACGAGTTCCACGCCCAACCATAGAGTCTGCGCCATAGGTTGCAAGTTCACGCGTCGTGGTGAACACTTCGTCCCCGATAGTGAATTTATATTGGATTTTCTTCCCGTCACGGATCCGCTCGACAGTGGGGTCCCATCCGAGCTCATTTATAGTAGAAGACGCAGACGCAGATCCAAGAGCGTAAAAGAGAGAGATAACACCATCGATGTTCTAGATGTACCATGCCTGTTAGTACCCTGACACACAGTGCGATACGTTTGCATACCTGAAAAAAGTCGATAGGTTCTGTAACTGCGAGGCACGCACGGTTACTGAGCCAGTCTTAATTGCGTGTCCTCGATTGTGATACCGAATGCAAACCGCCTACAGGGATCCTCCTGCATGATACTGTGAAGGCTCCAGATTATATTCTGTTCATCCTAGAGGCTTTATGAGCGGACGCCGACAAGATCTGCAAGAACTTACGTCTCGGAGAGACTCGGTATCCTGTTCCTTCTTGAACTCGAATGGTACGGCAATGTCGAACCAATGCATCTTGGCCTCAGATTGTTTATCGCTAAGTACAAGGTATCCATCAGGCCTGGAAGTATTGTTGCGCTGCGAGAGGGGTGTTCCGTTTGGGTTCGCTAGGAAGGATACTCTGCGATTCGGGACTTCTGCCAAAATTTCGGAGATGATGCGACCGAGGGGCTTAAACACATTCTCTTCGGACCCTTTCGATTTGGCAGGTGGGGTAAAGTCCGTCCATCGCAGGCCACTCTCGTCGTCGGTGAGAATCTTGCTCTCTTTGTTGGTCAAGTTGTTGCGTATTCGCGGCAGATCCTGCTGAGAGGGCATGGCACCGACACATTTCACTAGGCAATCGAACGGAACCTGCAGATACCTTCCCAAATCAGCGAGAACAGCAATGCAACCTAGTTTCAGATCCCCCGTGCGGTAATCCGCTTGTGACGTATGACGAGCGAATACAGCTGTATCTGGCGGCAGCATTTGTGACTTCTGTGATTGTGGTGTATGAGGAGGGGTGACCATCGTGATTCGATGAGGCAAGTAAGGTCAATTTGGCCTTGGGGAAATGAAACTACACAAGAACAAGACTCACTGGAAACGAGAAAATAGTCCTACCCTATTCCGAGATAGATAATTGAGTCTCATCGCCAGCCGATTAAATGAATACAAGTACAATCACCAAGAGTCTAGGCGCCTCGTTGCGTTTAATTGCTAGCAACTTGTCTGTAAGCCTGAGTACGTACACAAACGTGGATTCAGCGTTTTTGTCGGAGACAGGGCGCAACTATGCAAGACCTTCTAATAGTTTCATACTTAGCCTAGTATGAGCTCATATCCTTTTTCAAACGTCTTCCAGAAATCCATTTACCCCTGCAGGCTGCAGCCCTTCAAATCACTTTGGGGCCGAATTACCGTTCACTACCGGTGTTTCATACACTTGTTCTAACTCGATTGAACATACCACTGGGGAACGATAAACTCATTCTGACGAAGATTACAACTTGCCATGCCTCGCGAAAACAGTTTCACGGACTCTGTCGGACGTTCCTTGACGCCTGACCTTGAGGACGAATTTATGCCATCACCAAGTCCAGCATTGCGTTCCGCATCTCCTGCTCATATCGAATTGTCTTTACCCTCCGATGGATCCTTCCAAGAGCCTGTGGTTCGGTCTTGCCGACGTGCATCTTCGTCAATACTTCCGGCCTCGCTGCAGCCAGAACGTGTTCCTGCCATACATTTTCAAACTCCCAAAGATCGCTTCCGTGCATGTGTTCGTAAAGTAATTTCCATGCACCGAACAGCAACCTCCTTTTCGGGCTTCGGTCTCGCCGGTGCGGAACCTGGTGTTGACCCGCGCAGGCACTCCTCATACCTCCATTATGCGCACATTCGCGAGCGCTGCGAGATCCAGATCAACGACTATAGTACCGTGAGGAGCAGCTTTGAAAAGATGGATAATGAGCGTTTTGTACAAATGTTCAAAGATGAGAGAAGTTCGAAGAGGGAATCTTGGGTGAAGGTGAGGTGGATAAGTGTGTGCGGCATCAGCTGGGATGTGATGAGTGTACTTGCCCTGAAGTATGGTATGTGAATGGCCATGACACCTCATGCGAGGTGTTGATAATCATTCTGCGTGCGTAGGCCTTCATCCCCTCGCCATCGAAGATGTATTGCACAAACACGGACACACGCGCTCCAAAACGGACTACTACACTCAACACCTCTTTATCCATGTCTTATCTCACACACTCGCTTCCTCCTCTTCATCTCACTCCTACATACCAGAGGACGAAGACCCACTACGGAGCTCCTCACCAGGTCCAATGACACCAGGAGACTACCACGAGAAGGGGTACTTCAAGGATGATAACTTACATGCAGAGGCTGGGGATGAAGATCATACGATGTATGACGACAGTGTGCCTGCAACGTGGCGACTTGGAAGCACTGTCAGGAGCCAAAGGTCAGTGAAAGCTGACATGGAGAGTGTAGCAAGGGCCAGGGAGAACGACTTAACCCCGCTGACATCTGCTACACGGAAGGAGAGCGCGGTGCGTTGTATCTCTCGCATTTTCCGTTTTTGTTCATTGTATTTTCATTTTTTCATCCCCAACCTGCTTTAACGCGATTCATGATGTCTCGATTTGTACTTTTGTCGATGGTACTTTTCTACTCTTTTTTGATCTCCACTTAATCAATACAGTTCCAAAGTAATACTCATCATAATATCCTCCCTGCGCAGTCACGAAAACGCCGGGAGAAAGCTCATATAACTCTCGCTGATCTAAAGAAGGCAGGCCGTGTGAACGTTTGCATCCACCCGATATCAATTTTCTTATTGAGAGATGGTGAGTGCTGGACTCATTTGCCTAGTTATTTCATTATTCTTCCACGTTCTGTCTTTCCCTCTTAGTATACTTGTCTTGTCTTGTATCAATTCATGCCGATAGGAGTGTACACACATTCGGTGGGCCACGTGTATGATAATGTATGATGCTATGTATCCCGATTTTGAGCCAACGTTCACTACCGAGTCACTATATGCTTTTATTTCGACGCATATATTACAATTTGTGCGCATTTTTGCTCTTGCTTTGACGTATATGCTTCGAGTCGAAGCTGCATCTCAGTTTCGGATGATAATAGCTGACTCTACCTGACACAGGCACAGTAATCTCTGTCATGCCGTCCAATTTCATTCATTTCACAGGTCCCATCATGGCGCGTCTCCGACAGCCCGACACGGGGCTGCGTGCATCTGCAGATCCCAGTCTACTCGTTCAAAGTCTGCTTGACCTCATTGTGGACTCTGCACTTGAGGTAGTGGATGCATTCCACGAGAAGATATTGCAACTAGAATACGATGTGTTGATGAAGCCGAATATGAAAGTGGTTACAAGGCGTGCGTATTATTCCCATCGTCTGTTTCTGCTTGTGTTGACAGACCCGAAACTAGTGCACATTCTTTCTGGTGATTTGATACTGCATAAGCGGACCCTTGGGCCCCTCAAGACGGTCATTTATGGGCTACGGCGGTACGACGAGGACCGGTGTGCTGCCCTTCTCTCACCTGCTGAGAAGGAGGTGCAAGAGCAAAGCAGAGAAAAAGTGAAGGGGTTCATGTCCGATAAGAGCAAAATATACCTGGTGCGTCGTGACTTGTTTTCACCTCTTTGTATAAGTCTTGGCTGAGTTGAGATGCGGTGGCAGGCGGACGTACACGATCATATGGAATATATCCTTACAAGCATGGATATGTTCGCAGGGATAACAGAAAACCTGATGAACTACACGTTCAATGTACGTACTTGCTTTATCTCGACTCTCTCGTCTTGATTGACGTGAGTGACAGATGAAATCATACGAGATGAACGTAGTCATGTGCGTGCATTTTTTATTTCATCGGCATGCTTCGAGTTGATGTCAACTATCAGGCGCCGCCTCACCCTCGCAACTATCATATTCCTCCCGCTGACATTGCTCACGGGTTACTTTGTATGTTTCCTGTCATCTCACTTACCCCACCGAGTATAACGTATTGCATAGGGAATGAATTTTGCATCAATGTGGAGTGTCAATCACCATTCCGACACCCTGTACATATTTTATCTACTGACACAAAACGCGAGGCTGACGTATACACGCACACAGATTTTGGAAGATTGCGATCCCTCTCATGGCATTCGTTATACCCTTATTTATGTGGTCAGACATAAAGCAGGCTGCGCATTACGCTGAGAAACGGTGGGCGGCAAGGAGGTCATGGTGCGTCATTGCCTGGTTTTGTTGTGTATTGTGTATGTTAATGATCGTCTAATAGACTACCAAGGCAAGCTGGCGTGACTGACCGATGCCCGCAATATTCAACGCGGTTGTATTACACGACTTTACACGATTGTGTTTGGTAGATTTCGGAGTATTTGACGTTGCTTGCTTGCGCACTAGCGGCGATAGCTAGAAATACTAAGTGTGGCCACTACGGGACACACTTCTTTCTAAGCTGAGAACACATGCCTTGAGTGGAGTGGACTAGCACTCCTTTGATGACATATGCCTTGACCGCTTGAACATACTGGTATGCTTGTTCAGCAGGAATCTTGCCCAGTGACCCTATTTCCCGCACTCACGAGCTGTAGCATTAGGCTGCGTTGAGTCAGGGATAAAAGCCGATTCTCGAAACGTACCGAGGTCCGACGGACGCACAAACTTCGCGCCGGCGTTGCAGAGCAATCCGCTTCTGAATAATGTTCAAAATGACAGAGTGGCCAGCTAAGTGGCTGCTTGTGCATGCAGCGAGGACCCTGGAAAACTCTATGGCTATTTCTTAACTAAAGAACAGTTTGCCTCACCTCGTTTGTGTACAGGGAAGCGCGTCGGGCTTCGCATTTGGAGATCAAAGAATTCCTTCTCTTTGATCCCGGACCGCATTACCCTGTCATGCGTCATGATGGGTGAATATATTTTACTCCGCTTATTCAGAACTTGTACTTAAGCATGCTTGCTTAGCAGGAGGACTTTCAACCGCCTTTTCTCAGATATTTGTCCCAGTAGATCATGACAAGAGATGTTCCAACGAGACGTAGAGCGGTCTTGCTCGCCATTTTCATCGCTTTTGGTCAGTTCACTCTCGTCACTAGTACTATCCTGTGCTCATTGAACTCTTCCTTGCAGGAGGTGCGCAGATGTCATACACAGAATAGAAAATGTACGTCATTTATTAGCAACTGCAAGTTTCCCATTTCTTTGCTTATATGGGCAGTAGATTGATATCCATTTAATCAAAATGGTGATAGGCTTCTTGTTTGGGTATGATATAGGCGTCATTTCCGTATGTACTCATACTTCCTCAGTCCTCGGCATATCTAAACTTTTCTACTTCAGGGATGTCTGATTATGCCAGATTTTATCCGCCAATTCGGCCAAGAAGGAACGAATGGCCAGTACTACCTGTCAAGTTCGAGACAATCGATCATCGTCTCTGTTCTATCGGCTGGGTAAGACCGCGATATCTGATCCCACTCCGTGCTGACATTCATACTCATCGTAGCACGTTCTGGTGGGGAAATTATATCTCGTTGCTTTTAATATGGTCTGACGATACCTAAAGTGGAGCCATCGCTCAAGCGTTCACATCTGATCGGTTGGGACGCCGTGGATCTATTCTGTTCTGGTCGGCTATCTTCACTGTCGGCGTGGCTATCCAGACCAGCACGACATACTCTCTTGTTCAGTTGCTCGTAGGGCGTTATATCGCAGGCTTAGGTGCTGGTTCATTGTCAGGTTGGTGCTGATGTCAGGATATGACTTTGTGAATCTAACTACATCTATTCAGCTATTGTGCCTCTGTATAACGGAGAAACGGCACCGAAAGTTATTCGTGGTACGATCTTGGCTATCTATCAAGTTCAGATTATCTCGGGGTTCGTGAAGTCTTCATCCTCCATCGTAGCAATAGGTAACGCTTGTTACCTAGCGTATTTTTGAGTTATGTGTTTGAGCTTGGAAGTCACACAATCAACAACTCTGCGTCCTGGCGACTCCCTATCGGATTGCAAATGGTCTGGGGTATCATCATTTTGTCTGGAATGTTTTTCCTTCCAGAATCTCCGTATGTGCAACTTCTGAGAACCTCTCATTTCAAACTGATTTGACCTTCATTAGCCGACACCTTCTCGGAACTGGACGAGGTGACGAAGCGCGCAAGGTCATTGCAGAACTCAACGGAGTCTCAGAAGACGACCCTCTTGTGATTGAGATTGTTAGGGAACTCGATTTTGCTATCAGAGCAGAGAATGAAGGTGGCAAAGCGACTTGGTTAGAATGCTTCTCCACGAGAAATGCACTGTGGCGTCGGACAACCAATGGCATGATGCTTCAATTTATTCAGCAGCTTAATGGCCAGAACTTTTACTGTAAGATCCTTCGTGCCGATTTATTTTTGACATCTGATGGCTATTGTTGACAGACTTCTATGGCGACACCTTCTTTCAGAGTGCAGGTGCAGGGCGAGTCCTTAATCTCTCCACTTAATGTTGTTTAGCTCATGTAATGGCAGGCTTTCGCCTTATATCATCCAGACGGTTCTTGGAGCGGTGTCAGTTGTTGGAACTCTCCCCGCGCTGTACTTCATCGAGACTTGGGGTCGCCGAAAGGTATTCCTTCTTCCACTCAACGATCAGAGCAGAATCTTACATTTTTCCCAGTCTCTGCTCCTTGGCGCGTCTGCGCAAGCTGTCAGATGTCTGTGCACTAATTGTCCATGTACATTATTCGTTGGCAAACTGTGCTGGACTGATACTTCCGCTAGGTTGCTGTGGTTGGGCATGCTACCCTTGCGCCTCCTGGAACGCCAACTTCAGCACTTACTCCTCGTAATAGAGCTGGGGGCAACGTTGTTATTACTTTTGCAGTATTTCAAGTGTTCATCTTCAACACGACCTGGGGATCTACTCCGTGGGTGTACCTCGGAGAGTCTTTCCCTCTTCGAGTGCGCCCCAAATCAATTGCTTTCGGGTGTGCGACAAGTATGATTGCTCCCTTTTCGCTATTTGAATTCGCTACTCATGCTTGTTCAAGACTGGTTCTGGAACTTCATGCTCTCGTTCTTCTCTCCAAGGATTGTCGATCAGTGAGTCTAAATCACAGCCAAAGATTCTGGGACATTTCTCGATGTTTGAACACTTCGCCAGCATTGGTCCAATGATAATGTTTGTCTTCTTCGGCATGCTTGTCTTTGGATACATCTACGTGTATTTTGCCATTCCTGAAACCAAAGGTCTAACTTTAGAAGAGGTGATAATTCGTGCGTGTTGTCAATTGCTACCTATCTGATGAATAACCCAGGTGGACGAGTTGTATCGCTCTGGCATCGCACCCTGGCGATCAGTAGGCTGGCGACCAAGCAAGAAGCATTATTATCCCGAAGTACATGAGAAACAGGGGTCGGACTCTGTGGAAAATTGCTAGAGATATAAGTATATATGCTGCCATATCACGTATTGATATGATGAAGCGGATCGCGATGGAGTCCAGGAGCATCATGATTGGGCCAATGTTGTGTCATGTGCTATCTACGCCCTCCATCGCGAATGTTCGGGATGGGTATGTCTTGTTTTCTATTTGTTGTTAGAGTATAGCTGTACTCGGTCTAGATTTGTCCTTGTTCTTAATGTGTCGGTTTCTACAGAAGTAATTTCATGAAGCTACAACATACAATACACCCAACCTCAATATTCAATACAAGTACCTTTCTTCCACAATCTTATGCCTGAAATCTGACTGCATCTTTCTGTTGGTTCGAATTGGCTATTGACCGGGAAAGACAATTCGTAGCCTAAACCACTGTCAGAGTATGCTCTGTCCCTCGGCTTCTAGCCCACGTTTCTGGTCCCTACAATATTCCGGTATCTATGATCACATTTGCTGCAACAGACTGATGGAGTGCTTACCAATCTGTTATTGATTCTGTGATTCTTGATTCTTCTCGCGAACCACTCTGCAGCAGTAGAACCAGTCTCGAAATTTTTGTCAGGTCGCTTCTTCACCGCTTCTGCAATAATATGGCTGGATTCGACAAGAGCCCGCAGGACCTTCGAGTTGCCCGGGCGGGTGAAGAAAACCAAGGACCACCGCTCGTATTCAGCCTGTACACCAGGAGGTGCACTATCCACGGTCATTCGACAGATTAGCAAGATTGACAATTCAAGTACTCATGCACGCACACAACACGGTGAATGTTAGATTGCAGGACGCCTCCGCTGAAAAGGGATAACGCATCTCCAATATTGCAGACCGCGTGTCCAGGGATGGGCTATCAGTAGGTAAGTGTCTATTGTACATGCACGCGAGCACCAGACTCGTGCTCACTCGAATGTAGAACCACTCTTCATGACCGGGGGGAAGTACTTGGAGTCCACCGAGGCGATTGTGTAAGAAGCTCTGGTAAAGTTTGATTAAGAAGACCAAACCCACGTGGTGTCCAGGTACCCACCAGGCTGCTGATATCAGTATGCGCACCTATAGCAGGGATTTTCGCTGCTTCTTTGATCTGCACAGGATGGTTACGGATACATCTAGTCTCACTACCACTATGCTCCTCCATGTCATGCAGACTCTCCAAAGTCCCTTTCAGCAGTCCAAGCTTGTCGTTGAATATAGACAATACAACATATGTCACTTCGAGACCTTTGCGGGCAAATGGTGCAATCGTGTTTTCCATGCGGGCATTTACGGTTGATGGGTAGGTGCGGTGAATGACCTGTGGGTATGCCAGAGCATCATCCTTAGAAACGTTTATGAATTCGACAGAGTCTAAGGTGCCTGCATTTGCGTCAGCCTACTACCGTGACTTAGTAGTAGATTGGTCTAGAAATCCTACCAGCTGCATCAATCGCATTAGCCCCTGCTTTCTTGTATCTGATAAGGAATTCATATAAAAGATAGGCGGCGCTCATGAGCTAAATGAAAACCAACCCGAAAGATCGACCGCTATCTCCTTGCTCGAACGCCATAAGTTCTTCGAAGGGCAAAGCCATTGTCTCAGCTCCCATATCAAACATCTCGCTGACTTCTTGGTCTGCGCCGTGATTCTTTAAACTGTTAGAGAGTTAAATCCGGCATAAATTCAACAAAATATTTGAATATGACGTACTACCAGAATCCGATAGTCGTCGCAGCCTCCCACAGTCGATTTACTTCCTCCACATCTCCAGCCTTGATGAGCTCATAATCAATAATCAAGAGTGGATGTGTTCGAACATCATTGGGGAAAGGAGGAAGAGTGCTTCCAGGCATAATATGATCTAAATAAGGATGTGAGAATGGTCATCGCTATTAAGAGTGGATACACCAACTTTGAGTAGAGGTGGTAGGGTAAGTACTAGAGAATGCTTTGAAAGTGCTATGGCAACTTGAAGGCGACCATTATATACTATGTGAAGTAGTGCAATCACCACCTGACTGTGATGAAAACAACGCTTCTCTCCGGGACTAGCGGACCTCGAACATCAGCAAAACCGTCCAACCTATATATAACTTTATATACACATGTAAACACTGTAACACAGTGTAACAACTGTGACCTGTATCATAACAGCACGACGAACTGATTTTTATGATATAGCCACAGCCACGTTCCAGAACATATGACATACTCGCTATCATGTTCTAAAGTGCTGTAAGATTATATTGTCTTATATTCAGTTATAATATACAATCACAATGATATTCCATGACAACCACATATCATTGAGCTATATGAATACATGTGATACAGTGGGATATAATCTAATGTACTAGTGGCAACCTTGCACCTAGTGATGTCTCAGCTCCAAGCTGCATTTTTCAGAAAATGAGCATAACATGCTGAATAAAATTCCTAAATTCATGAAAATATTCATGGAAATAGATTGAGCCAAAAGCCGGGAGGCATCTGAGGGGAATTCATACTATAATGCATCATTGTCTTGCTATGAAGCAGCTCAGAAAATGACTCAAAATCCAAGCCATTTGCTGAGCTGCTTCATAGCAAGACAATGATGCATTATAGTACGAATTCCTCTTAGATGCCTCCCGGCTTTTGGCTCAATCTATGTCTATAAATATTTTCACGAATTTAGGAATTTTATTCAGCATGTTATGCTCATTTTCTGAAAAATGCAGCTTGGAGCTGAGACATCACTACTTGTACCGATCGTCTGGACATGAGCACTGAATTTGAAAAAAGCGATCGAGAGTATATGTGTGATGTCATTGAAGAGTGCAGCGAAAAACGAAGTACATGTGAGGTTATTGAGTCTGTTAGGGTAGTACACAAGCAGACAAGCAAATGAGTTGGGTAATGCGAATGCGAATGGAGACGGTGAAAACGATGCGGAGTAAACCTGATACAAGCAAGCGAAGGTTGTAAGTATTGAGCAGACTATGAGAATCTTGTGACTCACTTACTATTTCTTGGACTTGCGTTTCGGAGGCTTCTTGGATGGCACAGAAACACTCTTTCATTTGTGCTTAGCAGGCTGGATGACCTCAGCTTCATCTTCTTCCGTCAGAGGGCTGTTGTTGTCTAGAATGGCTACTTGCTGGTGCTTACATGACTCGACAGGAGGATCAGGGGCAGGGGAGCGTGCAGGCAAGGCCGTCTCCTTCTGTGAGTTGACAGGAGGATCGGGGGTAAGGGAGCGTGCGGGCAACACCGCCTCCTTGCGCTTGCATGCAAGGCCTTCGTCATCCGATTCCTGAGATGACGAGGGAGGAAGTGGTGAGGGCTGCTTGTCCTTGTGAGGATCAGCCAATCCTTGCGCTACAGGAGAATCTGGAGTTGCCCTATCAGGAAGAGGGGGTAAGGACCTGCTACACGACTCTTGTTGCTGATCGAGTGCTGAAGACTGCGCAGATGTTGTGTCCAAGGATCCGGAAGCCTGTGCTGCATGTGCAGCAAGTTGCTGTTTGATGGAAACCATATCGTTGTCCTCTGAACACTCGGCGTTCGCAGAATGACCGGCTTTAGCACCATTCTCATTGCCAAACAATTTCCTAGATCCATTAACACGTTAGATAAGATAATAGCTTAAAAATTACTCACCCATTGTAATGTCCTAGCAGGGAGTCAACCCACTCCCCATCTATCCTCCCCCAAATTAAGTTGACTATTCTAGTGTAATAGTCAGCATAATAGAATAAGGAGTCCCTATCTTTCCATTTGTCGAGCGAACTGATCGCGAAGCGAACCTGTACAGTACAGACTAAGTAAGTGAAGTCCACATAAAAAAAAAAACACTTACCTGAACTGTGGCATATGCGATATGCTCGGCCTCCACTTCTGTCATCCCATGGAGTTTGGCATTGCAAGTGCGAGTGCCATTGGAGTGGCCAGCCCTTAGTGCGGATGACGGGGATGTAAAGATGTGTTTAGTAACCTGTATATATTAGAGTCATCCAAATATAATTGAATATAAAAACATACTCGTTCCAAAAGATACCCGCAAAAAAGCCCTTCAAGTACTGTATATCCTCGGTGAGCTAGTGCTAGAGCTGAGATGAGAGACCGCTGCTGCAAAGGAATGAATGTGCTACTACAGGAACCATGTGCATGTGTGTATCATCTGACTAAGCTGTGGGAACCTCCGAAAGCCTAAATCTCCGCAAGCCTAAGTCTCCGAAAGCCTAAGTCTCTGTACCCTTGTCCTGGGACCCCTGGTCCATGCACCCCCCTAAAAAAATGATTGGCACTGGCCTCGATGCCATCCTTGATCCTGTCTCATTTCTTACTCTCCTTCTGCTTCGCTATCATTCTCTTCATTGTTTTCTTCCTCATTATCTTCTTCCTCCTCGTTGTCTTCTATTTGTTCTTTTTCTTTATTTCTTTCTTCTGTTGTATGTTCTTCGTCCTCCTCTGTTTTGTTTTCTTCTAATCTTTTTTCGTGTTCCTCTTGTTCCTTTGCTAACTCGGTGCCTAGACGTGGTGTGAAGGCTCTCAGTCGTCTTGCACTGAAATCTCCCTGTAACGGTGTTCCCTTTAGATTTTCTAGCATGTACAAGTTCCATGCTCTTGCTCACACTCTTCTTGGAACGGATCATTTCGGTATGAGCTTCCTTTCCGTTTTGAATGTATAATCTAAATCATTACAGTAGACCTGAACCAATTGACCTATTTTGAACGTGACTTCACCTGGTGCCCGTTGCAATACTCTTTTATTGAATCTCGCCTTCCGCTTTATGGCATGTCACACAACTTTGTCATATCCATCTAACCTCTGTTGTTCCACATAAGCTATTTGCGCTAATGCTTCTGATGAACATAGTGTTGATGTGCTTTCCTCTATCATTGTTAGCGGGGTATTGATAACTAGTCCCAATAGTAGCTCCTTCGGTGAGAATTTTCGTGCTGGCAACAAACAATAGTTAAGGGCGTGGACTGCATCATTGATGTGGTCTGGCCATGACTTAGGCAATTTGTCCCAAGCTATTTCCTGTTGCTCATCCTCTCCTATTTCAGGCGCGCACAATCTTTTCAGTACGTGTAGCAATAGCTTGTTCATACCTTCTACTGAACCATTGACCCAGGGCGAATATGCCGCTACTGTGTGCAACTTGCACTTTCTTGCTTCGCAGAACATTCACACAGCATTGTTATTGAAATGTTTGCCCCCATCCGCCATAAACATCTCTGATGGTGTGAATGCACTGAAGATATTGGTTAGACTATCGACTGTGGTTCTTGCGCTACCCGCTGATTTATACTTGAAGACCCAAGTATGTTGTGAGAACATGTCGAGATACACTCCTAGTGTGCTATACCCTCCCTTCCCTTTCGGGAGAGATAAGTAATCCCCGACTAGGAGTTCAAATGGATGTCTTCTAGTGATAGGTTCAAATAGTGAGTTTATGTGCATCGGTCCAAAATTCTTGCACTTAGTGCATTCCTTGATAGCTTCCAAAATCGACATGTCTAGCTTTGGGCTCCATATGCTGTCCAGAAGAGCAATCTTGATAGTGTCCCTCCCCCAATGTCCGCCTTCCAGGTGCATTTTTGTTGCTCGTACCTTTGCTTCTTCTCTTGATATACATTCTACCTTAGCTCTAGCTCTTGTCGTTGTTCCGCTGTCTTCTTAGATAGATGATCTATAGATAAACACCTATAAAACCAAATATCTCCACGGTCAGCGATTCAGACAAATACCAATGACTGATAACGTGGTCGTTCGTGGGTGGCTTGTCTTTGCTCCTAAGGTATAGTCAGCAATGTATAGCTCTGCACAACAGTCAGCAGTCAACAATCAACAGTCAACAGTCAATCCAACAGTATGGATATGAAGCACAATGATAACAGAAACAGAACCCAATTGGTCAGCGATCAACAACAACAACAACCAAACAACAGCAAAAATATCAAGAGACACAGTCACTCTAACAGTATAGAGATGACACAATACAAACAGACACTCCTCCTAACACTTCACACAGCAACAATGATTCATACACAAACTTAGTGCAGCAAGTTGTGCGGAGTTACAATGATAATCCCCCTCAAGAACAAAACAGGTGAGACTACTGTCAGACCTAGTCAGAGCTACCGTAGCACTCTTAGCCTAATATTGAACCTGCTGCCAAGGAACTCACAATGAGTATTCAAACAGACTCAGGAATGGGCGGCCTTGGACTTCAATACCAAGTCCCCTTTTCAATAGCTAAAGCCTAACTCACAAATGACTACTTTGGCCCAGTATAACACGCAGATGTCTGAGGTCAGCGATTCACTGTCAACACCTAAAGTCTCCCCACAAGACTATCCTAAGTCTTCAGTGGACAAAAGAGACAACACCAAACTTCTGGGTAAGAATGAGACTGAAACTTTGATACTTGAGAGAAAGTTGATAGGAAGGAACAACAACACAATCAGACTGCTACCACAGAAACACCAACACAGTCACGTTCACAGAGACTGTTAGCAACAACGATCACAACACACAGAGACAGCGAAGAAAAGAGATGGTCAGCACACACAGTCACCAACACACCACACTCAAACTTGAGAGACAGAGAGTGAAACAGAGAAACAGAGATGTTAGTTTCACAGTCACAAATCTCAGACATGTTTCCAGAGAGACAGATAAAAGAAAAACAATCACAGAGACAATCTCAGCGAGAGACACAGACACAGACACAGAGAGAATAAGAAACAGGGAAATAACAGAAAAACAATCAGAAGAAACAAAAGGAAAATAAAACTAGATGTTCAACACAGTGAGCTCAGATATGTTGTGCTGGTTGTTGAGCACAGTGAGCTCCAACCTTGAACCACACTTGCTGAATGCTGATTCACACTTCATTCACAATTTTATTCTGAGAGGGTAAAAGTGGCACTTGGGCATGCATTTATTGGGCAAGAAACAGCTCCTTATATAGACAAATTGGTGGCTATACTACTAGTTTCTCGTACTTAAAGTTGTAACTTTACTGTGATAGTACCAAGTCACATGATATCTTTGAGTCAAAAAGTAAATATTCATAACTCTTGTTGGTATAATGATGAGCCAGCAAGAGCTGTGTATAGCCCATGGGTCAGGTGTCCCTTGATGACTCAGCTAGACAAGGAGTGAGAAAGTGATTACATATTGTGTACATATGTTTGTGCAATCTGTGGCTGATAAATTGATTGGTAGCATAATGACATAAGATGCATATTTAAGGATTTGTAAGCTTTCCCACAGGGTAACCTTATGCAAACATATTTTTCATAGTCACCTGATATGTGTGAGAATCTTTCTGAGTCATCCTCATGGCTGACTAAGCAAAACTCATTGCAAAAATAAATGTACAAAAATATTCAGTCCACTCGTGTATAATCTCGTAAAATGAAAAAAAAATGAAAGATATTCCCTTAGCCTTAGTCTGACTTCAGATCACAGGAAAAATGATTTCATAGGGCATAGGGCTCATAGGAGAGTATTAGTCATCCATGCACTGAACCAGTTTGGTGCAGGTCACTGCCATGTACTTTTCAGAGCTTCCCATCTTCTATGATGTATTGGGATGCTCTATGCCTTGCTCTCTTTTTCTCCCATATGTCCTTATCTTGATCCAGATTTTGTATTGCATCTACGACTTCCAAGAATACTGGTTCTTTGTTGAATCGTTTACGGAAATTGTCGATTTCCATATTGACCAATTCCACGTGCATGATATCATTTGCTAATCCTATCCTTGCTTCCCAGTCTTCTTGTACTGTCCATTCACTCCCGTCTCCTTGAATGGGTTGCATGTTCTCCCATTTCCTGCTAAGGCCATCAGCTACTATGTTTAGCTTACCTGGTACGTGTCTGACGTCCACTATATGATATGCTAAAATTCCTTCTTGCCATCTAGTGTGTGCCACATTCATATTCGGATTTAGTAGCGTGTCCTTCATTGCGCTGCAATCTGTTTCGATTTCGACTGGAAATCTCCATATTATACTTGAAAATTTATCTAATCCAAATTTCAGCACTGCAAACTCCAACAAATACGACTTATACTTCCTTTCCGTTGTCGATGTTCGTTTTGATGCAAAACCTAGTGGATGCATTCGTTCTACCCACCTTCCTGTCGGTGTTTGTGTCCTTACTCTCTGTGATAGTACCGTCGCAAAGCCTTCTAGACATCTGTCCGACGTGACAACAAAATGTGAGCCATCATATCTTGGTGCTTGTAATACTGGTCTTGATGTGATCACTGTTTTGAGGTCTAGAAATGTGTTAGTGTGTTCTTGAGTCCAAATATCACTCAGCTTGAAGTTGCTCATTGTTCATCGGTATGTTGCTTTTGACATGGCATTGTCCACTGGTACTCTAAGCAACAGATTATGAAGTGGTCCCTCCCTTTTTGCATATGCGCTTATTAGCGTGCAATAGAACCCTGTCAAACCTAAAAATGACACTAAGTTTTGTGCATCCTGGGGCTGTTGCCATTCTACAATAGCTGTAAGTTTCGTTAAATCAGGCTTAACTCCATCTCTTCCTATTGTTCCCCCCGCAAACTCAGTTTCTGTCATGCACAGCTTGGTTTTGCTTGGTGCTATCGAGAACTTACATTCTTGAAAGCGCTTGAATAGAACTGTTAGTTTTTCTATCATTTCTTTGAATGTACTTGCTGCGCATCCCCCATCGTCCATGAACAACTCCATAAAGTGTGTTACCAATAGATCATGTAGTCTTGCCGCTAACACTTCGCAAAAGGCTGTTGGAGCTCCCGTTATTCCCATCAGCATTCTTTGATACCAAAAGTACCTGTGTCCTTCAATATAAATCATCAGGTATGGGCACCACTTTTCCGGTACTTCTATGGCATAGTATCCTGCTGCGAAATCAAATATTGATATGAAACGATGACCACTTAACCTTTGTTGTTTTTCTAGAATATCCCCTTGTGGCATTGGTGCGACTTCCGTTACCTTATTGAGTTATGCAAAGTTCTGACAAACTCTCCATTTCTTCGGTTTTCTCTCTTTTGGTTCACCCACTGCCGGTCTTGGTACTTCTCTCAGTGGTAACTCGAACACTGGGCGCATTCCTGCCATCCTGTGTTGATTGTTGATCTGTTGTTTGAGTTCGTCCCACATCAAGCCTCCAGCTTCATGTGCCTTCTGAGCGATGACTGTTGTCACTGCACATTTGAGAAGCTCCGGTGGTGCCCTTTCCACTATTCCTGCTACGAGCATTTCGCTCACTCTCTCGTTGTAGAACTGTGATTGTTCCGGTGTCAGTTGCTGCTGGTGTATCCTTAGATTAAATACTGCGTCGTCCGGGACATTTAAGTTCAATGTTGCTCCTGGTATTGGGACTACTTCCTTTAATGTTAGTGCGAAGTTATCCGCATTTCTCGCTATCAATTGTTCTAACTCCTTTCATTCTTCCTCTGTTGAGTCGTCCCCGAACATTATTTGCCGTATGATTTCCTTCACTCTTATTGGATTGAATGGGTCCAATTGACGAGTGTATAGCGCTGCATTCCCTTTGATTGGTTCCGGTTCTCGAAGTTCTTCCAATATTTTGTCCTCTATCTCCTCCGCATCTTGTTCCAATAATATGTTGGTGCTGACCACATGTTCTGTGATCATTGGTGCATTAATGCTTTCCTCCTTTTTCATTGACAAATTCTGATTGACTTCCCTCGCAGGGAGCTCTTCACTCCCCCGTAATGTTTCTTTCTTTAATTCTTTTCTCCCTGTTCCCCTTTCCATTCTCTGCACCATTGGTCTCCATTGTCCCATCGGTATTCTCGACTGACGTCCTCTTTCCTGTGCCCTTTTCACTCTCATGCTTTCAACTTCCTCTCTCTGCTGTTTCTTGTCCAGCGTTAAGTTGACTCCTTCGTTTTGCTTCATCATGTGCTGATCTTTGACTTGATTCTCTAGTTGCGCTTCTTGTGTGCCTCCTGAAATTTTCATCCTGTCTGTTGCATAATCGTGGACCGTTGCGAATGCTGGGAGCATTGGTTTTCCCAGTAAAAATCCCCAACTCCCTCCGCTATCGAAAACCTCGAATGTACTCTCCATTGTTATCCCATTTATTCTAATGTTTCCTGTCCATTTAGCAACCAAATTGATGATGTTTCCATTCGCCATCTGTAGATTTTTGTTCGATTGGCCATAATTGTGTAGTCTGTGCTTGATTTTTTGAAATATTGATGAGCACATAACGCTAACCATTGCTCCGTCATCAAATAATGCTGATTCTAACCATTTCTCCCTGTGGACCTTCCAGTTCGATTCAATGTATGAATGGAACCGCCTCTCTGTTCTCTATTTGTGCTTTCATCGTTTGTGGGTGTCCAACCGAATACAAGTCAACTATCTCGATTGCGCTGCGAGAATTGGTGATACATGTGACATCCTTAGCTATGGATTTAGCATAGAGTTCAGGGCTATTGGTCCTGATCTTTTCCTCGCATCTTGCCTCCACACATGCAAGGACTTTGATTTTGTCCTGCGGGCTCTTGAAACTTTGGGTCGACATATTATTCTGTTTTACGTCGACCCCTCCCCTTTTCCCTGTTGCTCCGAGATTTCTTCAATCCATGCTCCTGTTGTCTCATAGTTTCCATCAATAATGAGCGCTATGGTGGTCGCTGTCGCTCGATTGAAGGCTCCCAACACTTTACTTGTGATTGCTCGCCATGCTGCCTCTTTCCTCGAAAGTCTCTCTGTGTGGTCTGCTGGTAAGATGCAGTTGCGCCCATTATGTCCATGTGTTCCGCAATTAAAACATTCACTTGATGCGATGGCTGCCATCCCCGGCTTGAGCAGGAAGCCGGTCTTGTGTGAAACTCTCGTACTCTCTCCCCACTTCACATTCCACTGTGCAATTTGCGTTCTGTATGCCGTGTGCCCTGCTGGAGTGTCTGGTTGATGAACAATTGATGAAACAAGTTGTCTAATCGTGTTCTTCATGTCCTCTGTTATGATGAGTGGTTGTGCGCTTGTGAATGGTTGACGACTAATGGTAGATGGTGTAAGCTGATTCGTTTGTTGTGCTGGTACTCGTGCCACATTACTGTTGTTTAACGGTGTCGTGGCTGATCTTGGTGCCATGATTGACATGTGAGACAATTGGTTCTGAATTGCCATGATTGGGTTTGGTGTTGTACCCTGCTGTTGCAACCGGGCTACATCTGCACACAACATGTTAACTTCATGTTCTTGTTTGATGTACTGCTCCTTCTTTTCCAGAAGTCTGTTGCCCTTCAACTCTTTAACCTCTTTCGTGAACACCTCCCAATCCGCATATTCTTCATCTTTCAGCAAGTCTTTGATGATGCTTGGCAGCTGTCCTCTAACTTGCCATATCATCGATGTGCTTCCTTCTATTCCTGTGCTTGTTGCGAGCTGTTGTGCCTTAGTTGCCCATGCTTCGTGTGCCCAACATTCTTGATCGTATAACATGGTCTTCATCCCCACATCCACATCCGCCAAATGATGGTCTAATAATTCCCTTTCATATTCTGCTTTTGTCTTCTTCGCGATCATGATGGGTGGCCATCATGCTTCAAAAGCTACAATGAACAGGACCCATGTTGTCTTGTTTGTCCCCGTGAGTCCTTTGAACCATACCTCTGCCTCTGATCCTGTGCTGAGATAATCTCCAAATGCCTCTAACTTATCACTGCTTGTGATTATCGCCTGCTGTTGCATTGCCCGATTGAATGACTTAAGAAAGTCCACTGGATTTTCTGTTTTGCATCCATCGCCATGAAATATCTGCGGTGTCTCCATAGGCATGTACTGTTTTGGTTCTGCGATTGCAAAGAACTTGCCAAGATTGTAGTTTGGTGTTGTGAAAAGCGATGTAAACAGTTCTGGCTTTGCGTACCCTTGTAGTTCCAATTCGAGCTGAGATAAATTGAGGTCCAAATTCGGTACATCTAACTCAGACCCTGCCCTGTTACTTCCTGAGCTATTGATGCTCGTGAGTGGAGAATTTGGAAATTGTTCTGGTGTGTCGAGTGGGGATGAAGCTGTGGATGTATCCACTGACCAGTTAATTTTTAACCGAACATTGGTTACCGCCTTTCCTGTTTCTGTTCTAGGTCTCAAACCGCTATGCATCAGTTTTTTGGTGAAATTTCATGTAAATGAGTAGAATAGAACACAGCCCTTTTTGAATACTTGTGGTTTGTTTGACAAACACCTGTTGTTTATCTTTATCTTTCTTGGTCGTAATACAACGTAATACATTGTCTGCAAAGCTTTTCGCAAATGGTATTCTGCTTTGCTTCTGATTCTGATGCTGTGGCTATATGCAAGGCTGCTGCTAAATCCAACGATCTGAAGATGCTGAATGCTGCTAAAATCCTATGTGTCTTTGGTTCGAAATCGCTCTGTTCACCAAGATGAGCTAGTGCTAGAGCTGAGATGAGAGACCGCTGCTGCAAAGGAATGAATGTGCTACTACAGGAACCATGTGCATGTGTGTATTGTCTGACTAAGCTGTGGGAACCTCCGAAAGCCTAAATTTCCGCAAGCCTAGTCTAAGTCTCCGAAAGCCTAAGTCTCTGTACCCTTGTCCTGGGACCCCTGGTCCATCGGAGTTGAAGTCCTCGCATGCAATATCGCCTGGATAGAGATAGGTGGGCCACAAGGCAGCGGTTACCTTCAATGACCCGCTATCGAATTTGCTCTTCATCCTGTAGTACCTACCGTTAATACAATTGACTGAAAAAAAAAGAACATACCTGTGCGGATCCTTGATGTAGTCGGTCAGATATTTAGCTGGACAAAGCATTTTGCCCAGCTGGGTGTGGTTGAACCCCATTTGGGCACGACTCTTGCTGTTGTCAGCTATTGGAGGGCGGACAAGATCTTTGTTGGGGTTTGGGGCTGCATATGAGCCCATGCGTGACCTGAGGCGACTTGCATCCTCGGAGTGTGTGTGATTTATCATATTTTGCATCTGTAAATAGTTAGCTCTGATTACTATAATTGAAACTGACGCACCTCGCTGATGAGTTACATGAGCTCCTCGCATTTTTTCCTCTGGCCAATCAGAGTCCCAAGATAAGGGGCATGTTCCATGACATGTTTGAACATCCACTTGTACCGCACACAAGTGAGTTCATCACTAAAAACAATATTAGTGCGCATATATGTGGTCATATATGCTCACCAGTCATCCAGAATCTTCTTCTGGGCGGCCTTGATTTGCTCTTCTTCTTGTTCATCTCCGTCCTTGGCTGCTTCTTCCTGCTCTAAAAGTAGACATACCTGGATCACCTGCTTGAGATCACAGAACATGTCTAGGCCGCGTGGGATCCAGCGTGCAACATTGACACATTGCTCCTGCGGCATAAGGACTTTATTATGCGATCTTCTAGAATTTTGTTAATTTGATGTTTGGAATGAATACGAAATCTCTCACCTGTTTGCCTTTTTACTCTTCTTTTTGATCATTACAGGGCTAGTATGTCTCCTATATGCTGCAGGTGAGTGCTGATCAGAACAATGGATACTATGTTGTCACTTACCTGGCCTTTTTGGACTTATGTCCATCCTTATTGGATGATTTAGACGTGTGTGACATGTCCCTTCCACATTTGCTAGGTACCCGAGGGGGTGGTGTGCTAGGAGGAGTACTGATTGTGGAATATTTGGAGCTCATCGATGAAGAGCTAGATCCCAAAGATCCAGATGAGGAAGCGGACGAAATTGAGTCAGAGTGTTTGCGCCGAGCCATGGTGTTGGAGAGAGAAAGAGAGATAAGATTACACAATATTCAATGCATTATTGATATGTGTTATTGATAATTGTTTGTTTATATAGACCTATTAATAACATATTAGATTCATATGATGCGACACGCAAATACAAAGTAACATTTGAGCAAGGTCTCGTAATATACATGTAGTACACTAAGAAAAATGAAGTGTTACACAATCTCCTCATCTGAGGAGTCCAAGTCTGGTGTTTCTGTTCTTGCCTTGACATAATAACTCCACAGCACAGTAGGATTTGCAGGATCAGGATTGGGATTCCCAGCGCACCTGGTGAGAAGGTCACAAGGAGACGCAACAACTGGCCTTGAGAAAGGTCACTGAATTAAAATTCCAAATGAAATACTAACAACTTACTGCCATTCTGGATCGATCACGGCAAGATTTTCATCCTCTGTGTCTTCGGTTTTCATCTCCACGTCATTCCTACCCTCCTCCACATCTTCAGTTTCCAGCTCTGAGACACCCGAATCCATTTCAGATTCTGTGTCAGAATCTGCGCCCTGTTGATGTATGTGAAAGACTATTTTCTAAGACAATGATTAGATTAGTTTTCAAATGAAAAAAAATACCTTGGGACCTGGAGAATCTAGATTGAGATTAAAGCAGTAAGTATTGTCCAAAGAGACTGCATTCTGGATATCAACGAATATGACATCCCTGAAGACATTTACCACAGATGTCCAGGCTTCGTTGGCAGTAACATTAGACATTGATAATTTAATGTTGATAAAGATAGCAACCGACACAAAAGTTTCATACAATCGGCCAGGAGAACCCGGCAGAGACTGAATTTGAAAATCAACCATGATTGTATGTTATATGTTATATGTTATTACTTACGATCACATGCCCTTACTTTTGATCGTATGTTGATCAGGTAAATCTCAAACTTAGGAAACTCTTGGGCTAACTTCATATGCATAGGTCCCACCTCTTCCCTGGTGTAATTATCCCAGGGAGGATTCACATACCACTCGGATGGAATTCCAGTGATTCTATCTCTTGAAACTTGAGGTGCGTTCTGTCAATTTTGGATATGTAGTGCATCTTTCTAGCTACTCGTATACTATTTTCAATTCAAATACATATGGTTTTATATATCCTTGCCTGACTCATAAGTTCTGAAACATTCCCTGGTTCTGGCACCCCATGCGCTGCGATCTCAGCTGTCTAGCTTGTGCTTCAACATTTAGTTCGCGCAAACAGCTATCAGCCCATACAAGCCAGTGCGCATACAATTTCTCCCTTACTGATCAAATTTTCAGTCAGAAATGCAAGTTGGAGAAGAAGAAGAAAAGAAAAGACAAGAGAGCTTGTCATGACAAGTCTCCCAATCGTGTTCCTGAAGAGGTTGTAGTTCCCAATCAGCAAGATGTCATGTCTTTTGATCGGGAAGACGATGTATGTATTAATTTGATTTATCAAGTCGGGTTGTGCTAACTACACATTTGCTAGATTGAAATGGGCCGTACACCATCCCCTACACCTACACCTATTATGTCCAAGTGCTCTGGCTGAACAATCTGCATGTCCACTCGCTTCGCAGACTTCCTGCCAGGGTCTGCAACTCACCTTGCCCATATGCCACTCTCCGATCGTCAGCAACATTTACATCACAAAGATGTCATAGTGGATCAACATATGGACCTCCAGCCTCATATGCCATCCCCACAGCAATCAGAGCACGATGACCTGCCCCTTTTTATCCCCTTCGAGACCAAACCTAACAAAGCAGGCCTCTACCGTATTTATCCCACCCGCCCTAGTGTACTCCCCAATGAAAACACCCTCAAAAATTTTACCGATGCTCCCATGCTTGCAGGAAGTGATCAGCTTCCTGACTCAAGTCGCATCACTGAAGTTTTGTCATCTAAGGAGATCGGTCAAGATGATCTCTACGCAGCTTTCTCGAACCCTACTTCTGGCCTACTCATGGCCTATCATTACTCTGGGACCGGCCAGCAGTCCATCGCCAAGCTACAATGTCTTACCAGTTTCATCAGTAATCCGCTATTTGATCGCAGCAATGCTCTTTCATTTTCCCATACCTGGGAATCAAAGAATATTGATTCATACTTGCATGACAAGTCTAATCCGTTCCGTGAGGAATATGGCTGGTGCAGATCTGCCATCAAGATCAGGCTACCTAAAGAGGGTAAGAAGTGGAATACTGAGACTGAAGCTCCAGAGCTCGAAATCCCCAGAGTCTATCATCACTCAATCACTGACATCATTGAGTCTGTTTTCCAGGATGACATTGCGAAAACTTACAATATGACACTGTATCGCGAGTCCTGGAAATCTCCGGACAGTTGCGATGTCGAGATCTTCTCAGAAGCATACTCCAGCACCAAAATGGTGGAGACATCAATGATCCGCTTTGTGAAGCCAGAGATGACCTCAAGTGCATCGTCGCATCACTTATGTTCTGGTCTGATGCTACCCATCTGGCGAATTTTGGCGATGCTTCACTCTGGCCTTTTTATTTATATTTTGGCAACCAGTCAAAGTATACTCGAGGCAAACCGACTGCCTCCATGTGTCATCATGTTGCTTACATTCCTTCAGTAAGTTCCTTATTTTTGTCTACCATGAATACACCCAACTCTAAACCGATCTTCAGTTGCCCGATGATCTGCAAGATCAGTATAGGGCTATTTTTGGTGAGCCATGTACAAATCAGGTCTACACGCATTGCAAGCGTGAGCTGATGCAAGCCATATGGGCTCTACTACTAGACAAGGACTTTATGCATGCTTATGAGTATGGTATGGTAATCAAATGTGCTGATGGGATCACTCGTAGAGTGTTTCCTCAATTCTTTACATACTCAGCCAACTATCCAGAGAAGTAATATTAATTCATTCTTGGACGCATGCATATTAATGCTTCTCAGAGTTATTCTCATAGGTATCAAGAATCTTGGACAATGCCTTTGTCCACGCTGTCTCACAAAGAAGGACGAGGTTCCATTGATGGGAACAAAGGTGGATATGAAACATCGCATCAAGCGTATGTGGAAGGACGACAGGATACACTGCCAAGAGGTCGATGACACACAAGTGCTCATTTTTCAGGTGGGTGCACCTGTTGATGTTCGTACATTGACTGACTTCTTACTAATTGATGATATTTGATACATAGAATTCATTTTCTGACAAGCTATCACCTTACGGATTCAATCATTTTCGCATGTTCGTGATCAATGAACTTCACGAATTTGAAATTGGTGTGTGGAAGGCCCAATTCACACATTTAATGCACATTTTGCATGCAGTCGGTGGAGATGCTGTCCAAAAACTGAATGAACGGTATGTATTCTAAATTTTTCCATACATCTACTAACAGATCTCAATAGATATCGTGCTACGCCAACCTTTGGTAGAGGCACAATAAGAAAATTTAATTCAAATGCATCCGCAATGAAACGCCTAGCTGTGAGAGATTTTGAGGATCTTCTGCAGGTAAGTGTCAGTTCCAAGTTCCTCGATATGGTTATTGATGATCTGGTTTTATTTTTAGTGTGTGCTTCCTGTCTTCGAGGGCTTACTGCCAGACAGCGATAATATGATGGTTCTAGACCTTCTGTTAGATCTGGCGACTTGGCATGGCTTCATGAAGCTGCACATGCACACCAAGGACACCGTAAACTTTTTCGACACTGCCACAGCTGTTCTAGGGCAGACCATATGAAAATTCGCTTGTACAACATGTAAGGTTTACTATACAACAGAACTACCTCATGAGTACGCAACATGTGAACAATGGGAAGCTATGTTAGCTTCCAAGCTTACCAAAACAGACCCGAAAGGCAAGGGCAAGGCAGTTCCATTCGATCCAAAGCACAAGAAACTCAATCTCAAGACCTATAAGTACCACGCATTGGGAGATTACCTGGATACAATCCGACAGTTTGGAACTACCAATAGTTTCAGCACGCAGCCAGTAAGTTTTAATTTGAAATTTGAATGCATTTGTAAATACAAATTGATTATACTAACTGAAAATCTACTAGGGTGAACTTCAGCATCAGCGTGTAAAACACTGGTATCCGAAAATGCCCAAAGGCAAGAAGAACACCGTGTCAAGTATGACATGGATAGAGACCCAGGAATGACTGTTTGGAAAGATTGTCAAGGCATGGACTACACTGGCATCAAGAGAAGCTGAAGCCGGATCACAGCGCCGCCAATGAGAACACACGTCTCCAGCCGATCATCACCATATTTCCAAATATGCCAGAACCTCGTATGACCTTACCAAATGGCTCAGTGAACTACCAGAGGACAATCTAGCAGTAGTGGTGCGTCTTTTTTCAAAACCTTTCATAGTTACTTCATTTGATGTGAGGAATAGGATTTTATTCCAAAACTCAAGGACCACCTACTCTCACATCTTCAAGGAATCGAATATACAGGAGATGAACTGAATTTTACTGATGAAGAACACGCACAGATCTTGATCGCTAACAACAAACTCCACAAGCACAGTATCCTCCGGATCAACTACACTACCTATGATTTATGACAAGAGCAAGACTCACTCAACCCATGTACCCGTGCCGACATCATGGTTTTGTCGCATGAGACCAATGACAATCGACACCCCTATTGGTATGGACGGATCATCTGGATCTTCCATGTCAATGTTTGGGACCACAATGACGCCTCCATGGAGAAACTGTGCTGGATGGACTTTTTATTCATGCGATGGTTTGGACGCGATGCAAATTTCTGATCTGGTTGGTCTGCAAAATGATTGCCTCACATTGGCTTTCTTAGAAGTGAGGATCCCAGCGCATTCGGCTTTCTGGACCCTGACATCATCATTCGAGGTGTTCATCTTATTCCGACATTTGCATTGGGCAAGACCAAAGAACTCCTTCCTATTTCATTTGCTCGACATGATGCCAATCTACATCAAGATTGGTCTTATTTCTATGTAAACATGTGAGTCTATCATATGTATCTAAGGCTAATTAATTCATGCATATATTACTAGGTCTGTAGATAGAGACATGTTTATGTGTTACCAAGGGGGTGGTGTTGGCCACAAAGTTTCCCGCGAGTGGGATGCCTTTTTACAGAGTGATGGGGTGCAGGTGGTGGATGAGGCAGAAGAACAGGAGGACAAAGATGGGGAGGATGAGGAGGATGAGGATGAGGGAGAGATCGAGGCAGATGAAGAATCAGATGAAGACAATCCTGATAGGATTGAGGTGGACGAGGGAGAGGAGTTGGATGAAGACTTCTTGGCAGCAGAAGGGTATGGCACTTTGTAGTTTCAAGTATTATACAATCTTTTTTGATCCAGTCCATTGCTCAATCATTGATCTGTTGTTAATATGATCACTCTTGACTTAAACGGAAAGTTTGTTCCAATATGTGTTTTCATGATATAATATCATTGGCAGCTTACAAGTACAATACAATGTTCTTACCACCCTATGACTACAATATAATACTCTTACCACCTTATAACTACAATATAATGTTGCTGCTACTATATTTCACCTGCACTAAGGGTTATGTAAGGGTGGCGACGTGTTTATAATATGTCATGTTTGTATGATGCATGCATACATGCGTCATAATACTCGAATGTTTTCACAATTCCTAATCAGGTAATGTTAGGTGTTGTGACATTTGAAGAGTTTTGCTGATGAATGTATGATGACTATGTACTTGTTTATGGTTTTGATCCTTGCTTTCATTCTTATCTATTCTACCACTGCAGTAATATCTATTAGTTTCTTCCTTCTGGAACTTTGCCGGAACCTCCAGATCTATCTTAGGGTGTCGCTGACATTGGAATGAAAGCCCTTGTGATCACAGAATCGTCTTTATTCTTCGACCCCTATTACTGTAGTATTTCACTTGATTCAGCACCACCTGTTACATGTGACACACTACATCATTTCGTCACCTTGGCATTTGAGGGTATGACACATGACAATGCAGAAAATTTCGGCAAAAGTTAATTTCGACTACACAACAGCAAGACAGAGCATACTGAGATAAAGACAAAAGCATAGAATTTTCTGCTGTCTGTGACACTTTATAGGAATTTGTCAATTTTTGATGTGACCTGTGACAAGTGTCAAATTTCAACCCGGCAGAATGGCTTGTGACATGTGACAGACAAATCAATGAAATACTACTCTATGTCTCGGTTTGCAAAACAAAGGAAGGGCTTGATTGGTAATCTTGCATTCAGTAAAGACAGTGGGTAATGAGTAGCTAAGGCTAGGGCAAAGGCAGTCAATATGATATAATGATTGGGCAAGGTTTATCTAGACCTTCAACTGAAACACTCCAAATATAGGGTTAAATAAAGCCGATTCCCCTGCAATTAGGAGCGAAATGACACAGAAGGCATTAGCTTGACCCCAAATATTAGGAGTATCGCGGGTACTCATGACTTAGGATGGCATTGCATATCTCGTGAAAGGTTCTAAGACCGGTTGGTCTTGTAAGTATGGTGCCAGAATGACGGTGTGCTTTCGAAGGTAGAGCACAAAAGCATCTGAGCTCCACCTCCCCATCGTCTTAACAGTGTCAAATGGGACACCACAAAGTAGATATTCTAGCGTGCCACCTATGTGGATCCCATGACCTTTTAAATCCCCCTGTCCCAAGTGAGTATCGCCTCCTTTAAACACTTGAGAAACGTGCTGCGAGTGAGAACGCGCAGACCCAAGACATGTCTCCAGCTGAAGAGCGCGTCCGAAGTAGAAGGGTTATTGACATGAAGGTGATTGGTGAGAGCTGCGAGAGGGTCAACAAGACCAGATTGTGTAGCCCAGTACACATCTTCTCCAATGGGGGACATCTTAGTCCGCAGTAAGTGAAAGACTGTGACATTGAAGCCATGACGATCTACGTTGTGATGAATGTCACCGACAGTGATGTGCTTTTGATGATCGAAGCCTTTTAACGACGGTACAGTGAACTCACCCGTCTGTGCAATAGTGAAAAAGGAAGTTGTCAAGCATGCATACACTGCTGCGTGTAGAGGCATTGAAAGGTCTAAGTTAGAGCATAGTGCTAGCAACAATGCGACAGTGAAGGGCGTGTGTTTGGTGTGGGATGAGGACAGAGGTGCAAGGGATTTAGCACCTTCTAGTGTTAAAGATGCTTGGGCTTGGTCAATGGACCAAGGCAAGCTGTGTAGCAAATGCCAGGCTCGAATGCTGTAGAAATAACTCTCTAAAGTCTTTCCTGAGTGCATACCAGTGCACACGGCCAAAAAACTTAGCACTAGGATAGAAGACGCCAGGCATCTTTGACTCTCTGGAATGTTGCGCAAATTGCAAAACACATGGAAGACGAGCAACCCCGATCCATAGCATTCATGAGTGTTGGGTGCGTGAGAGTGAGTGATGACTACCAAAATGCGATCTATGTCGCTGTCCGTTAAAGGCACAAGGCACCCAGTATGATCCATGCAGTGACTGAGAAGCGATGGGTACCCAAATTGAAGATGATCCCGCGCTAAACAATGCGGATGAAGAGCAGATGGAAGGGGGGTGAGAGATGTAAGATAAGGGCGAGGTTGCGCAGTAGTTGTCATATGTGGCAATGGTTGCATCTCACTGAAGTGACTGTGTGGTGTCACTCCAGATGTCTCTCCAACCAACTCATCATGAGTAGGTTGGTTGGGGAGGTTACGGGCGTGAACGACGCAGTTATTGAGGTCGGTGTCGATGAGGAGCTTGGAGAGCTCCTTTGGAAGTGTGATGGGTGGCAGGAGTAAGCGACTGAGGTGGGAAGATTCCCCTTGATGGTCCGTTGGCAGGGTTGTCGCGGCTGGGGATATATTGAGGATGGAAGGAGTACATGTTGTCAAGGGTGTCAAGTTTTGCATGAATTCTTCGAAAAACACCATTGGTTTCTCGATTGCGGCTCTGCCCGTTTTTCCAACCTTTAATGATTCCCTGATTGTCACAGTAGATACAGAAGTGACGATGGGTGGAGTGGAGAGCAAGTTCGAGGATGGCAAGGATGAGAAGCTCGAGCCCTGCATATTCTGCCCACCCAATATCGCGTTGTCCATCCAAAGTTTGCCATCCGGGTCGAAGACTCCAGGCCCTCCAATACCCATTGACAACAATTGCAATGCCGATGGATGTACTTGCGTCCGAGAATGCATGCATGTCGACAAGGGATGATGGTAGTTTGATGGACTGCCCGACGAAGGGGCGAGCGAGTAAGGTGCACCACCAGTCAAGATCATCTTCGAGATGTTTGACTGAGTGGTATGGCACGAAAGGACAGGCACTACAGATGCTAAGCATGGCCTCCAAAGAGGTGAGGTAGGTGCAACCTGCGGGAACAACAAGGCATGCATGTAGTAGCTTGCCATATGGTTGTTGCACGTCGAGTAGAACGTGCATTTTTTGAGAACACCAGGTTGTGATTGCCATCTGATACTTTTCCTTCTTCCTCCCCAAAAGCTCAACAGTGAGCATCGCAACATTCCAGAGTAATCCAATGTATAGGACAAAGAAAGCGAAGGCTGTGTCTTTGCTGGGTTCCCAGGGAATGTCCAGTGAATCCGACATACGATCAATGTCGGGGAAGGCATAAGAGAATTCAGAGTTGAGGGAAGAGTGAGGGGAATGCGATGAAAGATTAAGTAGGGGAGAACTGCAGTCCTCGGCATACACGGTGTGTGATCCATCAACAAGTTGGCCTCCTTTGTACCAAAGACGTCCGCCGGAGTGTTCCTTCCCGTTGCTGTCGAGAGAGGTACTAATAGACTGCCTAAAATTGTTATAACTAGCAAGATACTCTTGTCTGATGCAAAAGAGCAAGTGGTCATCAACCCACTTGGTAATGGGCCCAATGCCTTCTGCATGCAAAAGGTCAAGTCCAGTGTCAGCAACATGTCCGTAAATGCCTGCGGATGATCCCATACCAAAGGACACACAGGTGTCAATGCAGAACGATCCATTGGGTAACTGTACAATGGCTCCAGGCCACTGAGAGTAGTGTAATGGTATAGTGCAATATGCTTCTGCAACATCCCATGTGGCCGCTTGAGAACCTGGAGGCAGAGAACAAAGAATGGTGCATACAGTGTCGAAAGTGCCCCATGTGCAAGGGAAGTCATCCAGTTGAAGACGAGAATTAATAGACACATGGGGATAGTCCCACAAAGGAGTGAGAGGGAACAAAAAATTCTGGATGACACGGAACTTCCCAGGCTTGTCTGACTTTGGTATGAGCAATATAGGGGACGATTGAAACGGACCAAGTAAAACAAGCAAATCGTCATAAGCGAAGGGTCCAATATATCGACCAGTAGATAGTTCTCAATTAAGTATAGAGTCAAAGGCATCAGTGAAGGTAATAAGGGACACGTTGTTTTTTGGGCATTGAGTGTGGTTAAGCTTTGGAATACCGAGAATGAAGCTGAAACAAAGACTATGTGGTAAAGTGGGGTAGACACATAGAAGATTATGTTTATGAAGACGAGCCTCTCAAATATCAGACTTATATGGTGTGAGCGGGTTTCGACATCTGTGTGCGAGGGCACTGCTGAGCTCCATGTGAGGTTGCAAGACACCCCGAGCACACATGTCTCTCATTGTGAGAGGAGCTGGAACAGCTTCGGGAACGCTGCCAGTCCAAGCATAAAGGTTTGTCTGACCCTCAAAGCAAGAGCTGACGGTTGACGCGAGTGGTGACAGAATTGTGAGAATTGTCCCAGAGGCGCTCTGCTGTACATTCGATGAAGGCATGAGATTTGCACCCCAGGCAGACCGTGCACACTGCTGGGGGGCGAGTGCTGTGTGCGCGGTCTTGAAAACCCGAGCTAGAAGTAGATGGACACAAGGAGCAAGGGGTGCGGGTCTTTTTGGAGACTTTTGGGGGTGCTGAATGATCCCTAGCACTTGGGGATAAAGGACATCTCATATGATGAGCAGAGTGATATGAATGCGAGCCTCCACTGTGGGGTGTGGACTCAATGTCCTGAGATTGAGTGCAATTCCCAGCACGGTGTGAACATGAACGCAAGGCGAAACACAAAGAGGGACCACAACGCAAACACGACATCGCAAGGCAAAGGCAGGAACGATAAGGATGTGTAGAGAGAACATGGGATGTATCAGAGTAAGGCAGGATAGGGAGCACAAAGAGAGCATGTCAGCGAGAACACAAGCAGAGGGAGCCTAATCACATACCGTGCATTCAACTATCATATCCTGCCATCTCATGTCTCAAAATACTCTATCATATGTGCGAAGGAGAGCTGAATCGTCAATAATTGATATATCCCAGGCTCCCTTGGAAAGGGGGATGGTGTTGTGCCAGGCCCGGTGAAGGTACAACTATTCAGATGGTGAGTCTGAACAATGTGTTGGGTCTTGCAGAACCTAGCTGCTATTTGACCCTAAAGGGTTTCTGGACCAGGCTCAAGGCTCAGAGGAGAGGAAATATCATAGAAAACTACTGAGCACTGAGACTCATACTGGTAACTGGTGAAAAGATTGATTGATTATGTAAGCTACAAAAGTGCCAACATAAGGTAAGGTAAAAACAGTCTCCACAAGCCCAGCCAGAAATGAATCCCTACACCGGCACTGTTCCTCCTGATAGATCAGGATGGCACATTGAGCGAGGGGGTCAATGGAGGTCCAGTAATGATGAAGCATCACAGCTCCCCAGAAATGAGCTAGCATTGTGACACGCTGAACCGGCCAATCATATTCTTCTAAAGTGGCTATCAGATGTGGCACTGCTTGAGTGAACTCAACAGTTGAAAGATTGCGATCAGCAATGACAGTGGAGGAAGGTTTTGTTCCAGCAGTGGTGACCCACACAGTGGAACCATTGTAGGGATTCATTTCTGGCTGGGCTGGTAGAGACTGTTTTTACCTTACCTTATGTTGGCACTTTTGTAGCTTACATAAGGAAGTTATCTTTTCACCAGTCACCAGTATGAGTCTGAGAGATCAGCAAGTTTCTATCATATTTCCTCTCCTCTGAGCCTTGAGCCTAGTCCAGAAACCCTTTAGGGTCGAATAAGCAGCTAGGTTCTGCAAGACCCAACATTATTCAGACTCACCTATCTGAATTGTTGTACCTTCACTGTCGGTACTGGTGGTGAGTAGCATGCCTTGTCAGTCATGAGTACAATACGTAGAGTGCACCTCTTGAATACCAATATTAGTCCAATAGTACAATTTGACATAGTGACCTTTATCAATCTTGTGAAGTGCAAAATCGGAAACTAGGACTTCAGTCATCAGTGGTGTCAGGACACGGACACATGGGAATGGGCAAGTGTTTGGACCGATTCTTCTTCTGCTCGTCGGCTTTGTTGGTTTCTTCATCTAACCAAAGAGCCTGTTGATGATGTTTGGCTGCGTCTTCGGCTAAGCGCTGTTGTTCAGTTTGAAGATGTTTGTCTTTAATAGTTTGTTGTTGCCATTGGGTGCAAAGAGCATTGTTGGTTGTAACCCAAACATTCTGAAGAAGGTCTGCAGCTTGGACCTCGGTGATGGTGGGTGTAACAAGGCTAGCACGACTGGCTTGGTATGGATCACTGAGGAAATTCGGACATACCAAGAGACTAGGGTCTGAGTGTAGCCATTGCATGAAGATTGAGAATGAGAAAGTACAAGACAGATACTGAATTTCGATGAATTAGAAGTTTTTTAGACAGTATTCCTAATGACAACCTTCAGTCGAAGATTGATAGCGGAGACGGGAGTGAAGAAGGGAGTAGTTTGATTTGCTGACAACATAGACTTTATTTGTGTCATGTGCTCGTGCCTCGCACTTAGCTAGAATTCAAAGTATGTTGTCTACTACCAATTCACTCAACGTCGACCAAAACATGTCCTGCTCTTAATAATGGAGATGCACCAGCATTGTTCCAGCTTCTCATGCAGCTCATACAAGGACAACAAGACTTTGGACAGGCTGTGACCCAGATTTGAAACCAACCTGCACCAGCGTCACAGACACAACCTGCAGCACCCCCTAAAGCATTAGTCGCAGAACCTGATGCCTATGATGGAAAATATGACACCTTCAATCTTTTTATGAGCCAGCTCTATTTATTGTTCCCTGCCAAACCAGCCATCTACGTTAATGACCTAAATGAAGATTGTTACTGCCCTATCCTTTTGGAACCTCGCCAGGGAAATGGTGGGGAACACTCAAGACAGATCAGGCAAGATAACAGAACAAAATGGTGTATTTGTAGAATGTAATATGGGGGAGCAGATGATGGTTGGTTTGAGACCTGAGTCTGCTTCTACATGACATAGAGCGGTGGAATATAAGGGGAAGAGTCATGTGATATAATATATGGTAAGCAATGACGTGATGCATTCTGGTTGTAGTAAGCAGCAAGCTTACGCCTGTGGTTATGTATAGAATTGAATAGACTTTAGAATAGAATATTTAGTCATTAAGACTCCTCTGTTTGTAACTACATAGTACAATATATATACTCCGCGTCGCAATTACTAATTGACACCACTCCGGCTATTCCTGGGTAAGTCGGTGTTCCCCACATTACTCATTCCTATACATATTACTAAGCTTCCTTTCTTGTGCTCATACAGTCATTATGTACGTCTAAAGTCTAACACTCCCCCTCGAGCACATTCCATCATCAGCTTCTTCCTCAGCTCCTTGAACCGCAGTGCCGGTAGCACTTTCATAAAGACGTCCACAACATTTTTGGCTGAAGGTATGTACTGCAAATCTACAGTTCCATTTTCGATTACTGACCTGACAAAATGATAGCGGATATTGATGTGTTTTGTTCGAGCGTGGAACTTATTGTTCGAGGCGTGGGCGATAGCGCTTTGATTGTCGCAATGAATGGTGATAGGTGCATCTTCCCTTTCGTACAATTCCTTCAATAATGACTGAAAATGCAAGATCTCTCTTGTTACAGACGTTAATACAATGTACTCAGCCTCCACTGTTGATAGCACTATTATCGTCTGTTTCCTTGCGCTCCAGGCTATTGGCGATCCATGGAGCTGGACCACATATCCCAATATAGAGTGTCTATGGGCTTGACTTGCCCAGTCCATGTCCGCATATGCTTCTAGGTCCTTTTCTCTCCCTCCTAAGGTAAGTTTTGCATTTCTTGTTGCTTTCAGGTAGTGGATGACACACTTTGCTGCTTCCCAGTGTAATTTCGCTTGTTCTCACATAAACTGCAACAGAATCAAGATGGCAAAGGCTATATTGGGTCATGTGCATGTCACTGCATACATTAGCAATCTGATAGCCTGTTGATATGATATGTGTTGTTCAGGTATTTCAAGTTTGGTGCCTGGTGGATGGTCTGACTGTGTTTTTGTTAATTGTACAGTGGCTCAAAAAGTGTCTCGATGTTTGTAACTTTTCATATAATTGCTTTCTTATGAGCCAGGATGTGGGAATATGACTGAGCTATAGGGAGATGTCAGAATGCTATACTTCTCAGCCTTATTTATGTTCCCTATAGTGTGGGAAGCTGATGTCATCATGTGCAGATATGGCTATTTTAATTTGGTGACTCATTGAGACACCTTTTTGACTTTCATTTTGATCAATACAATCTCTATGATTGTGATACTTTATGTGACATCCTATTGCTCTAATCACTTCTGCCACTCTTCTATACATGTTATCTATCAAATTTGAACATTTCTTCTTAGTACTCCTTCCTCACTCTGCTGCAACTCTATCCTATAGCTGTAATAGCCCCTATGATGGGTTTTGATAGGCTGCAGCCAATTTCTTGAGTATTTTCCAGAGACATTCAATAGGGCTGAGGTCCAGGGACTATACTAGATATGATAGAACATTGATGTTATCATCTTTGGACTGATGTTGACTAAATTGAAAGTTCATTTCACATGACTAAAGATCTCACATTCACCATAGTCTAACTAGACAGGCTGCTAATGCTACTAAGGCCACCCAATTCATCAATTCTATCATCTCCAGCACTGTTTCCACTCAAACCATCAATAATACTTTTGTCATATCCTGTATTCCGGACCTACATCTAATAATATTCCCACGCCTCATCCAGACCTTCAGATGTCCTATCCATGTCTCCAGTCCTCTATACTATCCAGATCCCTTTACCTTTGCAGCTAGCCTGCATCATTCATCCTTTGTCATATTGCCCTAATATCATATCTCACATATCCACACATCTTGTCTGGACCATATCCAATCCAATCCAATCCAATCCGACGTATAGATACATTTCCAATCTGATATATGATAAGCTTCTTAATCCATTTCCTGTGCATATAACGTTAACACAGCCTATCTGGTATTTCCTTGTTTCCAGTACCTTGGTCATACTTATTACTGGTATGCTTACTGATCTAATAACCTATGCTTCATTCCGACTTGTGTTTTATAACTTTGCTTATGCTTCATACATAGCCTCAGACCTTTGCTTACCGATCTTTCTGGTAGTCACTTAGGTATATAAACTCTTGTATATGTCCTGTAGTTCCTCAGTCTGAATATCATATTAGTCCTCGCACTAGATCTCACTCTAAGTCCTTCATATCAGCTCTAGTCTTCCAACTTAGTCAATATCCATCTCAGGCCTAGGGAGGAATTCCCTAGGCCGTTGTAAAGATACAACAATGCCTGATACTATACAAAGGAAGTATCAAGCAATATAAAAATGTTGTAGTGGTCATGCACAGTCTAGTCTGCTATACTTGTAGGACAAGTGTGTTTGACCCAAGGGGTTTGCTATTGGAATAAGATTATAGTTAGTCAATTGATAAACCGTCAAAAGTCCGAGCACGAGAAACAGAATCCAAAGGTATAATTATGAGTCTGATGCCAAAGTGTTGGCCGATGTTTTCAGGTTCAGCGGGTTTATGTCAGGTTAGAAAGGGATTGTCGGGTATAACAAGCACTATGCTGGATTATCAATAATGACAGGTGTTTTGGATAGAAAGAAAGGTAATATTCACAATGGTTAACTAAGAACTACGAAATATCGGGTTTGACCACAAGGCATCAGGAAATGACTCCCTACTCCTTGGATGATAAATGTGCTATGAGGAAAACCAATATATATATAAGTATAAGTACATAGAAATCCGGAATCCTATAGGCAAAAGTAGTGGCCGAAGAATTTTGGGTCCAATGTACATGTAATTAGACATGAGGCACTGTGGACTATGGGAAAATATGTAATAGTGCAGGCTACAGGCATGAGTAATGTGCTGAAATAATCAACTACGCACCTAGTGGGGCTAGCTGACAAGATAAGACATGGATAGGGCAAGAGCATGGGGAAAACATCGGGTCCGATGCGGCCTGATGCATCAGGTCCACAGGCCAAAGCATTGGATCTGGTGGGTATGTCATCGGTTGCATTGGGAAGTGATTGTCGTGCAGCAGACATTTGATGTGATGTGTGAAATGGCTGAATATGTGCCTAGCATGAGCTCGAGTGCTACATTTGGCTGAGGTCCCGTGTAGAATTCCACATTTGACCATGAGTCTATGAGCTAATGATACAACATTAGACTTGAATTTGATGCATCAAATTGAACTGAACTCACCAACAACAAAGTCATGAAAAGCACAGATCAACTCCTTCCTAGAGCTGAAGTGTGACAGCGGTTCCCCACAAGGAGTCATGACAAGCCATCAGTGAAATCAATTACAGAACCTGTGGTCATCCCTATTGTCTGGGTCAAACTTCTGATAGTGATCACAAATCTGTGTTGTACAGTCAGGCTCCCCATCATACATGACATCCCAATCATCTACAAGTTGGACAACATTAGGGATGCCGTGGACTTGCTTGAGAACAGCCACCTTGTGATATCTCTTTGCCTCAGGCACCCAACAGTCCTTCTTCACATAATCCTTCCCATCAGTAGGATCTCTGACATGGTAACAAACTGTTCTGCAACAGAAGAAACCCTGACTCTTCCACAAAACATCCATTATCGATGTAGCACTTGAGCTCACGCTAGGCTCATATTCAGCCATTTCACGCATCACATCAAATATCCATTGCACAATATTCACTTCCTGATGCAACCCAATGCTTTGACCAGCGGACCCAACATTTTTCCCGCACACTTGTCCTATCTGTGTCTTGTCTTGTCAGCTAGCCCCACTAGGTGTGTAGTTGATTATTTCGCACATTACTCACATTGTAGCCAGTGCTATTACATGTTCTCCCATAGTCTGCAGCGCCTTGTGTTTATTTACATGTACATCGGACCTGAAATTCTTTGGCTGCTACTTTCACCTATAGGGTTCCAGATTTCTACATACTTATATATATATTGGTTTCCACATAGCATATTCATCATCCAAGTAGTAGGGAGCCGTTTCCTGACACTTTGTGGTCAAACCTGATATTTTGTAGTTCTTAGTTAACCATTGCGAATATTACCGCTCTTTCTATCCGAAACACCTGTCATTACTATTAATCCACATACCGCTCACTATACCTGACAATCCCTCTCTAACCCGACACAAACCTGCTGAACCCGCACACGAAACACGCTAGACCCGCCGAACCCAAAAACATTGTCCGGCACTTTGGCATTGGACTTGCTAACAATAAACTTATTCCAATAGCAGACCCCTCAGGTCAAACACACTTGTCCTACAAGTATAGCAGACTAGACTGTGCACGACCACTACAACAATTTTATATTGCTTGATACTTCATATAGTAACAAGCCTTGTTGTATCTCTACATCGAGTAAGTTTTACCATTATTGTTGACTACCCATCCTTTCGCCCCCACAGCCAGAGAGAGGTGAGTACCCTGGCAATCAGCAATGCACATATGGATGGTGGGGTCAAGGCCAAAGTACTGCGGATCTGCTAACACAGTCGTGGCTATTGCCTTGGTGACATAGATTGGAAATTTGTGGATGGGGGTCAGAAGGGACATGATGAGGCCTGAGCAGTCAAAATAATGGGCATGAAGGTCATCTGCACAAATAGAGTAGGCAAAAATGAAGCGACGCCAGGGTTGTTCCCACATAATGAGGTACACTTTGGTAGCAGATCCCCAATACACTGCTAAATCGTGTGTTATAGCAAAATTGCTGGAGGTGTGTTCCACGAAGCTCAAAACATCAGCCCATGTTTTGTCCTGAAGTTTGTTCTTGTAATAGAGCAGGGCTACATCAGGCTCCTGCATGTTATATGGGTCTGGTATGGGTGAGTTCGCAAACTCTGCAGACCAGTACCGCTCAATGGGAGAAATATCAAAGGGAAGTTTCTGTGGGTATCTGCTTCGATTGTGCAGGGCCCACTGAACAGCATGGAATAAGTACTGTAAGTCCCTCTTGGTTGAACACTTGTTTTGTTTCCTCTTCAATCCTGTCTTTACAGTGCCATTGAATTCATCATCACTCCCATAGTGGTCGGTTTCCTTGGGAGAAGATTGTCAAACCATGAGAATCCAAGGCCTCGAGTTCTGCACTCGAGTCATCAGTGGTATCTGTGTCGGAATCCCTCGTCTTGCTCTTTTTCCTGCAATTAAAATTCCACACTTTTTTGTATGTATACTGGTGAGCCATCCTTCTTGTGGTACTTGATCTTTTCGATGTGGTGTAGTTGAAGGGAGGATATGGGGATGAGTGCATGGAAGATAGAATTGGTAAATTTCATCTTACTGAGGCCAGACTCATCAATGACATGGCCATCGAGCTCTGATCTCAGAAGACCCTTCACAGTATTGACTGTGTGTCCACCTAAAGGTGGGAAGCCCACAGAGCTAAGTGATGCCCTGTAAAGGTAAAGGTTGAATGATGTGGCACTAGCCTGAGGAAGTTCGAGTGACAAGGTCATCATTGGTGGTTTACCAGGTGAGTCTGAACTGGACGACATGCTGTGAAACAGTGTCTGGTAGAAGGTGTGCCAGTATGATGTGTCTCAGTACTCAATACTAGTAGTGTTTGTGCAATCTGCACAAGAGTGCATAGGTGCTCACGGGTGGTGTCAGCCTTGTCAGGCTTGTCGGGACTCCATTCCATCCTCATCTGATTTCACCAATTGCAAAATTTGCCATGTAGAATACATAAAATCTGAAGTAAATGTATCTATCCTTGTGAGAGGGCAGCATATGTCTGTTTGTCAAAGTACTTGTTTAAGAAAAAAGATGAATGATAATGAGCAGAATTTGCCTTTGTCAACCACACGTCGGCTGCGTGACCTAGTTGGGGAATGATATGAATAAATGCACGAAGTTGGCTAAGGGGAACTATGTCACCCACTGGCGTGCTGTTGGCATGTTTAGTGTGTTTCAATACATGCATCTCAGTGACCAGATCAACCACACCCATTTTGAAACTATGCACATAGCACAAATATTGATCTTGCCATGTGATTTGTGAACCTCACCGAGGAACTGGGCACATTATGAGCTGCAATTCACAAACATGGTGCCCTTCAAACAGGGGGAAAGGCATCAATGATAAGCAAGATTAGTATCAACATAAACAAACTCACCCATCAACCCTGACTTAGGCCAATCATAGGCTCGATCAACATTGATGAGGACAGCATCCTGTCAGCCTTTTGGCCACCCGCTGGTAGGAGATGAAGGGGAGGCATGCACAGTCTGTGCGGGTAATACAACACTGGCATCATAGAAAGAAACTTGTTGCAAACAAACAGTATGCCATATCTGGATATGTTCAAAAGGAAGAACTGAGAGATGGTTGATTTGTGGTCTCCTTGGAACCCCCAACCCATGGCCTGCTTCTCCATTCCTCCCATCACATTGCAAGAAGTTGGAAAGAGCCTGGTGTAAATCTGGTATGTCAAAGTCATCAGCAACCTCATCGACTTTCAACCCAGTGCGAGTAGGGTCAAAATTAAGATGAATAGCAGTGGAGGCAGCAACAAATGTCCAAGGAGGGTGAGAAATATTATCACATCTTGCACCAACCAATTGCCTTGCTTTGCTAAAGTAGTTGGTGGTGATGCATGTTTGGTTCAGCTCTTTTAAGAGTGCAGTTCACAGGTCTGTCAGTTCATCACAATCTCCATCATCTTCCTCGTCTTCCTCATCCTCAAGGAATTCTTCTGAGTTAGAATCAGCGCAAGTACTCTTCAGTGTTGTAGCAATTGTGAAACATTGCAGCTTCTCCTGGCGATCTAAATGACGACAGATCTGAGGATCATAGTCGTTGTTATTAGTGTGCCGTGCAGGGTCCTTAATCTCAGATATATGGGCATGCTCAGTGGTGTCTGTGGACCACTGAATAAGGGCGCCAACTTTGCATGAGCTGGCAGTGATGCTCTGCATGAGTTTGAGCTTCGGTTTGAACCAGCTGTTGATAGGCTTCTTTGTCCCCATCCAAGCCTTTAGGGAGATGATAATGTCTTTGTTTTTGTGAAAGATTAAAAGTGATCTGTCAATATGCGCCAGTAAATTTTCATCAGGTGAAGGAGACTGCGCCATGTACCGGACGTCCATAAGAGCACAGATCGCAATCACAAATTGACGGAGAGCTGCACCAGCAATCAGGCCAACAATGTAATGCTGGAGATCTCGGTGCGCTCTACCTGTGACTTGCTTCAATTTTGAAAACCCACCAGAAAAATGGTGATAACCTGTAGTAGGCTGCAATATTGAAACACAAAAATCTAATTCCTGCACTCCAATAACTGTAAGGCACCATTGGAGGTCATGATCATAAAACTCCTTGTGCCAGTGATGCAAAGGTTTGGGTGTCAAAAAGACTGAAGGATCAGCAAGCGGCCAGTCCGCCCAAAGAGGAGAATGGACACCATTTAGTTGGTATTTCTCGCATGCCTGGAAGTAAGCTTCAAGGTCATTAGGGTCAACTGTTATGCTATTGAGCTGTTCCAAGGTGATGGAGCACATGCACTCAGGATGACAAAAAGTGTCCCCAAACTCCAGATATGATGCCAAGGTAAACAGCAAAGTTTTCCCATGCATGCAGCATACATGCCTCCGGGGTATCGACAATATATGCTGCAAGAGGTGTAAAACAGTGGCGCACATTGCCTACTGGGTCAGACATCATGATTCCGATTTCAGCAGCTTTCATTAGGGGCTTCAAAACTATGGAAAGACATTCATGCATGAGGCGATCTTCTAGCATGCCCCGCATCTGTGGATTTGAATGCAAATACTGCAGGATATGGAGGAGGGCCATAAGAAGAAAGGCTCTGGATGAGAGCTTGGTGCAAGTGTTCATGTGAATGTTAGCAAGGCCTAAAAGGAGTGGATGAGCGACCCTGGCACCAGTCATATTGGTGATATTCATTTTGTCCGAAGAAAGTACAGTGCCTGGGACTGTCGCACCTCTTGGAAGCTGGTCCTGCAGTCCTTATAATGAGACGAAATGAATATTTAGACACAAGCCATACATACCTGGATCTCCCAAGCAGAGTCACCTGTCAACCACTCTGAGTATACACGAAGAAGCCACACTGATGTTGTATAAACATGGCGAGGGACAAAATAGAGCTGGTCGTGGAAAAGGGGGTTACTGAAGAGACTCTCCAAACATTCCACTGGGTCCCTCCAAAATAATTGGATAGGGCCTTTGGTGCAATTGAGTGAAGGAATAATTTGGGCACTTCCAGCTCAGTCCTTTTGGCAGCATTTCAGCACAGCTTCGTAATTCTTTAGCATTGCGGAATGACAATTTCAACTGATGGATCTTCAAATAATGTCAGCAAGTGCCAGCACTTGTGAAAAGGACATGCACCATAGGGAGTTCCAGAAACTGGTTAATTGCTGTCATACTGAGGGGAGAACGCAGGAGAAAATTGGCGACCTCCCACTCTTCCTTTGATGCAAAAGGGTAGAAGAGGTTTTCCTTCCTGCATTCTGCATACTCATTAGCATCAAACAGATCCAGAAAGGTCACACCATCCTGAGCATAACAAGTCCCTGTGCACTCATACACCTCCACCTCTGATAATGATTCTCCCTCATCCTCAAAATGGGCACCATCAAAGTCAACATCCATCATGCTATCCTCAGCATCAAATTGTGGGACGTCCACTTCCGACGTTGATTGAAGAGATTGCTGCAGTGGAATCAACTCAACAAAATGCAAGATATTGACCATATCGTGAGCAGAACTGTGGCATGACGTTTGAGGCTGGCTGAGGTGTCGAGTGACACTGGACTCCTTAGTGAATAACTTGCCGCACTTTGGACAAGCTGACATATTTAGAGGTCGTCACAGCTTGATTCAAATAAGTCTCATGCTACACTGTGCTTGCTCTGACACTTTGTACTAAATATTGTCCATATTGCTGCTACAGTGCTCTTGATGCAAAACAACATTAATTCTGTGGCCCTTCCATACCATCACTGGGCCTCTTGCAATTCTGGAAGTTCCTCTTGAGGTTCCTCTTGCAATTCTGGAGTTTCTTCTCAAAGTTCCTCTCACAATTCTGATATTTCTCTTCATCTTCCATCCTCTCGTCGTCATCCTGAATGCTCTCCATATCCTCGGTCCAGACGGAGTCTACAATGTCCATCTTCTCTACCACGATCACAGCTGATAAGGAGGAAGACAGCTTCTCCATATTGATGCACCTTGTGAGTTGTTATCAGCCAATTTCAATGCTTCGTGACTCTTATATGCTTTTGATACTGACAGGAATGAGACTCCACATCACTCAAAGAGAAAGATGATTACTCTGACCTTGCACTCGAAGCAGCTAAAGCCAAATGTAAAGTTTGCCAGGCTCAAAAGCACCTGGCAGATTGTATTTTGGAACACCATGAGATATTCACACATCTCTGCCACTGTCATGCAGAGGCTGCAAATACTCATTTATTATCAGCTGACCTGAATGTCAGGCACTTGCATCTTGAGCATAGAAAAGACAGTATCGCAACATTTATTGGAACATAATTAACAGTAAGTGCCCAGTTTGTGATGTTCCTGTACTGCACTGATGGCACTGCTAATTAATTCACAGCTTAATGATATTGTAAATACTTGTGGTTCTTTTTCTTCTTTGCGCATAAATAGCTTCAATAAAAGACCGTGATTGTATTTTCCTACACAAGGCTTATTGTTTGTACAGTTTGTATGTCTGTGCTACTGTGTGCTTGTCAAGCATGTCAATTTTGATCCCAATTATTGGCTATTTGCTTTGAAGAGATGACTTTCGAGCGGGAGACGTGTGATCGCTAAGACAAAAGGTAAATCTCAGTCTCTCGTAGAAGAACTCTTATTAATGGTGTATGTACCTAAGACAAAAGGTAACTAGAAGACGTTAGAACATTGTAATAGCCAGGTGCGGAGATCTACTCACATCTCAGTCTCTCATAGAAGAACTGAGATGTTCATACACTACAAAGGCTTCTTTTAAAGGTGAGTAGCTTGGATACGTGAATATTGAAGGAAAGATTGAACATATATTGTATGACACGAGCTGACATCACTCGTTGCTCGTCTACGTCCAAAATGGCATGCGCTCATACCTCTCACTCTCCCCGCATCACTATCTCGGATCTTTCGGTGCTTGACGACTCGGATCTCTTGGCGCTCGACACTCCCCCTCGAGCGGATGCCAGGTTCATTCGCACCCGTAGTTTCTGAATATGAGGTCGCACTAGGGCCTTTGTAAACACATCTGCTAGGTTGTCCTCCGAGGGACAATACATGAGGTTGAACGTGCCACGTCTGACGTGCGCACGAACGAAGTGATATTGAAGATCTATGTGCTTGGTCCTAGACTGGAATTTGTTGTTAGATGCGAGGGCTATTGCAGCTTGATTATTGCAGTAGACAGGCATAGGGGTTAAGGGAATGTCGTAGAGTTCATGGATGAGGAGCTGGAGGTAAAGGATCTCGCGGACGACAGTAGTAAGTGCTATGTATTCTGCCTCGGCAGTCGACAATGCAATAAGCGATTGTTTGCATGCGCTCCAGGCAATTGGACCTCCATTTAGTAGCACGACATACCCCGACATGGAATGACGATGGGGTTGAGATGCCCAATCGGCATCCACGTATGCCTCCAATCCTCCCTCTGTAGTCCCAAATGTTAGCCCAAAATTGTCAGTGGCCTTTAGGTAGCGCATAACATGCTTGCTTGCCTCCCAGTGTGCTCTTCCTGGGTTTCGCATAAATTGTGATAGTGTGGTGACAGAGAAGGCAATATCTGGCCTTGTACTCATGGCCGTGTACATAAGAGATCCTATGGCTCGCTGGTATGGGATGTCATGCATGTCCGTGTGTTCTGGTAGAGTTGATGGGGACTGGTCGATGGAGAGTTGCGCGCCCGGATCCATGGGCGTCTGGGCAGGTTTCGCGTCATTTAGGTGGAACCGTTCAAGTACGGTGTGGACATAGGCTTTTTGGGACAGCGTCAAGGTGCGCATGTCACGATCTCGGATGACCTTCAAGCCCAGGAGCCATGCGAGCTCGCCTAGGTCAGTGATCTCGAAATGTTCGTGGAGCTGACCTTTGAAACACTCTATGTCACGAATGTTACGCGATGTAACGGCCATGTCGTCCACTGACACGGTGATGACAGTGTGCTCGTCGTTGGCACGCCTGTAGAATACAGCTTGGTCCACTTGCGAACAGGTAAATCCTATCTTGAGGAATACTCCAGCCAGCTCTTCCGCCCACTCATATCCTGCCTGTTTCAGGCCTGGTAAACTCCTCCGCAGCTTCAAGATCTTCCCCTCGTCTCCTGCCTTCAAGTATCCTGGCAGCGCTCGCATAAAGACCTCTTCTTTAAGGTCAGCATACAAATATGCGCTCTTGATATCTACCTGATGGATTTCCCAGTTGCGTTGCGCTGCCATGGCCAGGACAGTGCATATGGTGTTATGACATGAGTCGCGTGCAAACTGGGATGATCTAACAGCGACGATCACGACAGTGATATCACGTGCTGAGAGTCCAAGGTCGGCTCCTACAGAAGAGCAGGAGTTGCGTACGCTTGCAGAGGCGAGCGATGATAGCGGTTACAGGCAGAAGGGGTCTCAAGTCCTTCTGAAGGTACAGATCAGATGTCGAGCAGGTAGCTTTAGCAGGACAAGGAATTCAAGGTAAAACCCAGTAGGATTAAAGTAAGGAACATCTACTTTAATCGTCGACCTTATATAAGGCTACTCTATCATATCTAAGCTCAGCTTGAAGCTGGGTTCTAATCTGCTTATCTATCGAGTCAGAGATACCATGCATGAGGCAGGCTTCTATCAGTACATGAGGCAACACGAGGCTTGCCTTCTATCTTGATAACATAAATAGGTCTTCTAGACCTATGTCATCATATCATGTAAGCGATCCAGATCACTTACCTAATCCGGCATCTTCCGGACTTCTCTTCTATTCATCATCTATCATCAAGGCCTAAAGGCCCAGTTATCGTGTCGTTGCCGTGCAGGGTGGCAGAGGGCTGGTCAAGTAGCTGGGGGCTCTCGTAGTGACTGTAACATTACCCCATTACTACGCACAAAGTCACCGACTTTGATTTCTAAACATCTTCTTCCATCGTCGGGGCAAGTGGTGCGGACATGGAGACGGAAGGTACTGGAGCCCCTTCAGTGACAAATTCTGTATTATACGGGCCACCCGACCTCCATAATATCCCGTATGAGACGGGCCAGCTGATCATGGGCCCATGCTGTGTATATTCTTGATGATGACGGATGGGCCGGGACACATATTATTTCCGATGGAGACGGGTGGGCCCATGTATGCCAATGATATATATATCCTTAATGTTGACGGATGGGCCGGGGGAATATGATCATTCATGGAGATGGGTGGGCCCATCTGGGTAATATGTAGAGTAGGATATTATAGACAGCTGGGCTGAAGAGAGATGTAAGGCAAATATTGTTATATAGACGGGCGGGCCGACGTGGGTGTATTACATATATGGGTGGGCCGAGGTAGGGAAATATTACATAGACGGGTGGGCTGACGTAGGGTGTATTACATATACAGGTGGGCCGACATGGAATGTATTACATATATGGGTGGGCCGACGAAAGGGATATCAAATAGACCGGTGGGCCGAGGGTGCTATAAAATATTTATTACATAGACAGGTGGGCCGAGGTGGGGTATAATTATATAGACGGGTGGGCCGATGCAGGATGTATTATATAGACGGGTGGGCTAACATAGGATGTATTACATAGATGGGTTGGCTGACGTGGGGGATAATACATAGATGGGCGGGCCGTCGGGGGTGTATTACATATATGGGTGAGCCTAGATATGTTCCATCAAGACATACAGCTGATGTAGCCACCAGCGAATCAAACACATAGGATACATGTACACTATGAGTGCATATACCTACCATCAACCACCAAATCTAAACCCCTAAGCACAAAAACATGAATCGATCATGTGTGGCATTGACCAATAATCCAGGACTGAAGTGGAAAAACCCCACACCTGAACCCTGGTGTGCAACAAATCCTATTTCTAAGCATGGACACCAGAAGCACAACACTCACAAAAATATATATGTCAAATTTTCAGTGCCAAACCCCAAACCGAGATGTACCAACCCCTGAAACCCGAAACCTGAGACTGCCGGGTCTCAGGTATCGGGTGTCCGGAACTCGGAACTTGGGAGAATTTGGGGAGATCAATACAATTTAATTTACAATCGAGTTGATTGACAACACATTGACTTACCCATGTTTGCAATATATTTTTGTTTAGACATACCGAGTTCCGAGTTCCGGACACCCGATACCCGAGACCCGAGACTGCCGGGTTTCGGGTGTCGGGTGTCCGGAACTCGGAACTTGGGAAAGTTTGGGGAGATCAATACAATTTGATTCACAATCAAGTTGATTGACAAACACATTGACTTAACTATGTTTGCAATATATTTTTGTTTAGACATACCGAGTTCTGAGTTCCGGACCCCCGGACCCCGAAACCTGAGACTGCCGGGTCTCAGGTATCGGGTGTCCGGAACTCGGTATGTCTAAACAAAAATATATTCCAAACATAGTTAAGTCAATGTGTTTGTCAATCAACGTGATTGTGAATCAAATTGTATTGATCTCCCCAAACTTTCCCAAGTTCCGAGTTCCGGACACCCGACACCCGAAACCCGGCAGTCTCGGGTATCGGGTGTCCGGAACTCGGAACTCGGTATGTCTAAACAAAAATATATTGCAAACATGATTAAGTCAATGTGTTGTCAATTAACTTGATTGTAAATTAAATTGTATTGATCTCCCCAAATTTCCCCCGAGTTCCGAGTTCCGGACACCCGATACCCGAGACTGCCGGGTGTCGGGTGTCGGGTGTCCGGAACTTGGAACTTGGGAAAATTTGGGGAGATCAATACAATTTGAGTCTCGGGTATCGGGTGTCCGGAACTCGGAACTCGGGGGAAATTTGGGGAGATCAATACAATTTGATTCATAATTGAGTTGATTGACAAACACATTGACTTACCCATGTTTGAAATATATTTTTGTTTACACATACTGAGTTCTGAGTTCTGGACCCCCCAACCCCAAAACCCGAGACCCAGCAGTCCACAATTCTGGGGTTCAGGGGTTGGCAAAATGTGTATGAATA